GGAGGGAGGGTTTATTCCAACATCGTTGATGAGTCTTGGGTTTGCACTGGTCCTCTTCCTCCTCCTCCTCCTCCTCGTCCTCTTCCTCCTCCTCCTCCTCCTCCTCCTCTTCTCCTGGGGGAGCTGCCCTGTCTGAGATGCGGTGGGAGCTCGGGGTGGGCCCGCGCTCGAAGTGGGATAATGACAACGATGATGAAGATGATGATGCTGATGCTGATGCTGATGATGATGATGATGATGATGATGATGATGATGATGATGATGATGATGATGATGTTGATGCTGATGCTGATGCTGACGCTGATGCTGATGCTGCAGATGATGAGGTTGAGGGGCATCGACAGCAGTCCAAAGAGGCCGGGTCAGGGCCGCCAGAGGCAGAAAGCAGCGAGAAGCCTTCCGCCGTCATTGTTTCATGACCCGAGGCTGCGTTGCATCTTCGGGGGACATCGCCTGCCCCTTGGTGTCTCTTCGCGCGGGCCCGATGCGGACTCGACGCGGATCTGGCGTGGACCCGACGCGGACTCGACGCGGGTCCGACGAGTCGGACATGGAGATGCGGCACGGCTGCGACGCGGAGAGGGCCGCGACGGGACAGGCAACTGGCCCCCCGAAGGTGCATCATAACCCGATGGGGGTCTGGGTCCCTACCCCAGTGTCACTGCACCGACCGTCCAGACGTGCTCCAGCGGACTTTTGCGTGGATTTCTGACCATGCAAAGCATCGAAACGGCGAGCGAAAACGAAGTGAAGTTGACGCTGATTTTTGTTAGTCTTCATTCCTGGCACAAAAGAATCCGCACGACATTCACTTCGAAATCCGGAACGAGATTTTCCAAGACACTCCCCAGACCCCCGACGTCGTGATATTTTTATGACGTGACCCCCTGGAGCCTGGACCTCTTCCTGGTGGACTGTTTTTTCATGCTGAATCGTTTCTTGAAACTCGAGGCCCGGTAAAGGCCCCCGGAGGCGGATAATTAGGAAGAACCTTCTGTCATGATTTGTTCGTTCCCTGAGGGGGTCTTTCCCCCGGAGGCGGAAAATTAGGAAGAACCTTCTGTCATGATTTGTTCGTTCCCCGAGGGGGTCTTTGGGTCTGGGCCGATCCGACTTTTATCCAAACGAAATCCGCTGTGATGCCGGCGCCCTGACCAGTGGCCAGCCGACGGCAGCCCACGCGCGGCGCTGGCCTCGCCGATGCGGTCCATCGTCACGGGGTCCGTCCTCCGGAGGTCCATCTTCGTGAGCTGCGCCTCCTCGTGGAGGGGGACGGGGGGGGGACTCGGCGAGGGGCTCCGCCGCCCGAGGTGAGGGAGGGCGTGAGCAGTCATCTGCCTCGGTCCTGTCCTCCCTCCTCCCCTCTCCTTGCTCCTCGTGCTCCATCTCCTCTCCCTCTCCTCTCCTCCCTCCTCCCTTCTCTTCCCTTCTCGTGCTCTAACTCCCTCCCCTGACCCCCTCGCGCTGCGAGATAAAATCGCGGCGGGGGGAGTTCTCACTATTTTCGGCCTCTGGGGGCCCTCTCCCGGCCACGGGAACGTCAAGAAAACGACTCGGGACGACAAAAAGCGGTCCCGGGGAGGGGATCCAGACCTCTGGGGGTCGACGCTGTACAAGCATCGCGGCGTCGGGTGTCTGGGTCCTCCCCTCTCCTCTCCCTCATCCTCCAGCTCCCTCGTCCTCTCTCCTGCGTCGCCCGGCCCCGTGGCCACTCCCCCAGCACTGTCCCATTACCCCCCCCCGTCGCCCCCCGAGTCGGCCAACCCCCCCCCTTGGCTGGAGCGCGTGAGGGATCTGCCGCCGAGCACGCAGGCCAGACTGGCCGTGCGGCAAGGCTCCAGTGCTGCGGTCAGCGGTCGCCGCGGCCATCAGCGACGCACTCTGCGAGCAAGGAGCCCCCACCGGGCCAAGCGAAGCAGCGGGCAAACGTCCACACCTTGTATTCCCACCGCGTATACTCTCCAACGCTCAGATGCCATTCGACCGCGAACGTTTGCACTAAGGAGGTTTTACTTGAACCAAATGGAACTATCGTTCGCGTGATATTCGGCCAACGGCAGCGCGGGCAGGGAGAAGACAACTCTTCGCGCGCTTCGCGCCTGCAACGCTCGTGCCAGGGCGGCGCAAGAAAGCTAGACCAGAGCCGAACGCACGCCAACGCTCGCGGGCAACGAGCTCCGCGGCCGCCCCCGACGTCGCCCGCCCTGGCACAACCACGATGGACGGTCGAGGCGCGTGTCCGCGCGAAGCAAGGCCAGCCCCATTCAAAGTACATACGAGAAACAACGATCGGAAGAACCCGCGACGCAAGGGGGGCGCGGGGGCCGCCTCGACCAGCGCGAAAGGGGGAACAACACAGACAGCTACAACATCAGAGGTAACCGCCCCCGACACAGGCAGCGCATCCGCAGGGAGCCGACGCCGCCTCGCGAGACGCGCCGCCAGGCTCCGCAGGCCCTCCTCCCATCCTCCCCTCTCCTCCCCGTCCCGTCCCTCCCCGTCCATCCTCCCCTCCCAAATCAAGGGTCCCCTGCTCCCCTCTTCATTCTCCTCCTTACGCGATCCGTTCCCCCTCATCCCCTCCCTTCCGATTCCCTCCCAACCTCGTTTCCCTTCCCTTCCCCGTCTTCCTGCCCCTCCCCCGCGCCATCCGCCCCTTCTCCCGATGTCGGCACACGGCCATGCGTTGGCGGGCCAGGGAAAAACAGGAGAAGAGGAGGAGGAGGAAGAGGAGGAGAAAAACGTTCCGGTTGGATTCCGCGCTTCAGTCCAAATACCAATGTGCACCCTTGGCCAGGCTGGCCCACTGTACACCCGGAGAACAGGCGCGCCAGTGTACACCCCCCAAACGTGCGTGCCAACGTACACCCCCAGGACTGGCGAGCCAACGCGCACCGCCGACGCTGGCCACGACTTGCTCTAACAGGGACGGACACAATCTCCCACTGGGGGCCATCATTGGGGCAGCGGTGGCCGCCAGACCAGGTGTACACTGGGACCTCGCCGGGCCGAGTTGCAAGGATGTCTCACACGAAACGCCAGTGTGTACTACACCCAGTCGTGCGTCGAGTCCACACCAAGATCCGAGCCCAATGTCGGAGTCCAATGCCGAAGCGCCACTGTGCACCCGGAGCAGGGGCTGCCCAGTGTACACCCCCTGGAGACGAGTGCCAGTATACACCCCCAGAAGACAGTCCCACTGTGCACCCCCTGAAAAGGAGACCCACTCTGCACCCCCGGAAGATTGCCCAGGGGGCCAGACATCGCCACTACTCCTTGTCTTGTGTCCCTTCCCCTTCCTACCCCTCCACCCCTCCTCCCCGCGCTCTTTTGACGCTTTCTCCTGCCACCCTTTTCTGCGGGAAAATCAATTGTTTCCCGCCTCCTGGGTCTGTCCCCGAGAGGGCCTCGAGGGCCAGGCATGAGTCAACCAAATGCCTGTGGAAATCAAACCACCATTTCGGTAAAACCCCTCGCCCGCACCTCCTCCCTGCCCTCCTCCCTCCACCCATGCTCTTGTTTAAGATCTGCTTCGGCGAACGGTCAACTCAGTTAACGTGTTATAGTGAATTCGTAAAACGCTATTTCTGCTACTCGAGCGAAGTCTTGTGACTGAACCAGCCGGAACGCCGAGGGCCACGCGAATCAAACAAGCGCGCCCCCAAAACCTCAAATTTACAAAAGCAAAAAAATGGGGACATTTAAGAACCCCCAGTGGTCCCCAACCACACACCTGCGGGGCACATGTAAGCACAGCGGGGCCTCTCGAGACTCAGACGCCGATTCAATGGTGGTGACGGCGAACATGGGTCGAACGCGCTCGAACATGCCGCCACACAGGCGCTTCAGAAAAACTTACGTCAACAACGACAACGTGATTCGCGCGCGCCCAAAACAATAATACTTCCTAGCGCAATTCAGCCCCTGGAAGAATACAAATCAAAATCGAACGCGGGACGGAACAAATTCGGAGACTCAAAGGTCTGAAAACTGAGTCCCAGTGAGGGGTAGTACTCCCGATTCCCGATGATGACAAATTGTCCGGTCCATGCGGCCCCACGCCAAGGAACTTCACCAGCCCTTTCGGGCGTGGCTGGTTTAGGGAAATTCCTCTTCCCCTAAGTCCCAACCGGGGAGGGGACAATGACTGCTCCTCATTAGTTCGCACCCCGTCCCCCACACGACCTACGACAAACCCGGGACAATGCGGGACCCCGCTCGCCATCCGTCGCAAAAAGCAAAACGGAAAACACATTGGGGCACAATTTGGATCATGCGCGGGCACCGCGTGAACACTTTGCATTGGTTTTTGACAGGGACAGCGGGGGCGCCCTCATCTTGTTCGCTCTGCGCAGGCCACCCGTCACTGTAAAACCCCTAGGCTACATACACGAAGCGGCAACATCTGGACCATGCGCGGGCGCCCTTGATCACTGTACGTTGGTGCGGTGTCCTCCAAATGACCGCCCTGAGCAGACCCACCATCCCTGTCAACACACAATGCAGAAAACACTGTGTGGCAACAGATAGTTCAAGCGCGGATGCCCCGCGATAATTTCGCAATAATCCCGGAAATACAACAACACAGCTGGTTCCGCGTTCTGTCTGGGCAGGCGGCTTATATGTAGCATGTTTATTATTCTTATTCGCACTTTTATGTATTGGTATTATGATTGTTCTTCCTATGATCCTTCCGTTCTTCTCCTTTACATGTATATAATGCTCACCCTTCCGTATTCTTACAATGTGCCTTCTTCTCCTGCGCCGCTGCTCTGGCCCACGGCTCCCGGACCCGAGGGTTTGGGGGATGGGGCCCGTCCTTGAGGGCCCGGAAGATCTTGTGACAATGGTCCGCCAGGGCGGGGAGGCTGCCGGGCAGGCGGGAGACCTGGCGGGCACCCAGCGGCGCGCGCGGCGCGTGGCCGCCTCAGCGCCCTCGTGCGGTCGACATGTGGGCGTTTCCGAAGCCCTGAACCCAAAAAAAGTTTTCGTCTCTTGGGGGCGCGCTTTTTACTCCCGCCGCCCTCCGCCGAGCTTCCGCAGGCGGAGGTGGCCTCGTGTTACTTCCGCCAACCTTCCGCCGCCCTTCTGCCGCCTTACACCGCGGAAGAGATGACAGCTCCTTCGACCCTCGAAGGCAAGGCCCTTTTCTGGAACGCCTCATGTTTTTTTCTTTACTAGGGCTCGGTATGACCGCAAAGGTCGCCTCCACGCACATCTCTTCAGTCCCTGTCGATGGGAGCTCATTCGATGCAGATACTTGTAACACACGCGACGTCTGGAAGTTGGTAGTCCGAGCTGAGAAATATTGCCCGCTCCTTGCAGGGCGGCGACCACAGCAGCTGCTAGCCGAAACCCTTACACCTCGGCAGAGAACGGGTCGGTGGCCGTGTTCACATGTCCCCCCGAAAGCCGCGACCTCCCAATCGCCGCTCCCTCGAGAGACCCAGAGAGTGAACCCAACTGCGCTCCGCCCACATCCGCGCCACCCGCCGCCGTCCGAAAGGGCCAAACAATTGAGCAACGCGGCTGACAGATCGTCAATGTACGGGTGGAGGCAGAAGAAACTCTGGCCTGAAGCCAAGTCTGAGTAACACAAGCGGTCAGCCTCTTGGTTCTGAAGGCTCGTTTCCAGCGGACCAACAGTACAATCAACCCGTATCATAAGGATGCTCGGTAAGGATGAAACGGCCTTGGAGGGCCATGTTGGCGTTTTTCGAACGAGGCTCTGGCAAGCGAACGTCGCTAAGGATGGGCAGAAGGGGCAAGGATGCAAGGGTATCCTTGGGAAGGTTTTCCATCCGTACTATGCGGGTTAACTCTAATGCAGACTGACAATCGGTGAGTCCCAAATCGATTCGAACGTCCCCCGGATCGGTGTCCAGGCGACCCCACAGCGCACACCAGCTGAAAACTGGACACAGAAGCGACGCCAAAAAAAGCTGAGACTCGACTGGGACTCGCATGCAGATGAAAGAAACCAAAGGCTTCACGAATCTTGCAGGCGGCCGCGGGTCTTAGCTGGAGGGGGCCCCAGAAAATCAATTAAGAGGGGGGGGGGCGTGGCAAAATTGAGTCAACACAAATACCCCGAGCCCTTTGATGGTCCATCCGGTGGAGTCCTTCACCTCAGATCCGCTGTTGGGACAACCCCAAAGCCCGCACACGGCCCCTGGAAGCGGAGCTATCACCTGGGAGCTCGCCCCCACGAGGACTGCTCGCTGGAACCAATGGGTGCTGGGCCACCGCAGACCTCCAGCCAGGTCCACCACGAACAACCGCGTCCGGAGGTCGGCGCGGATTTCCTGCATCCGCGCTGGACCGACCCAGCGGCGCCTCTGGCGCCGGCCCTGGCGCGCTGCGCTGGCCGGGGAAAGGGGTCCAGCGCTTATCCAAGACATCCGGGCGGACTTCCAGAAGTGTTCGGCGGCAACTCGTGGGATCCTCAAATACCATATTGTCTTGTCGGCTCTTGCGAATCGACGCTCGCCGACGCAAGTCTGACGCCAATCGACGCTGAATCGGCGCCATCTCATCGACTCCCAGGCGCCAGCCGACGCTTTTCGACGCTGAATACAGACTTGAGAAGATGCACAAAATTCCCATGATTTGCCACCGGAAACAAGTATTGCTGCGTCATTGCCCTTGCCACTCCCTGCTTGCTGCCCGTGTAATCCCGAGTTCAGGCTTGCTCGAGTTTTACGCTTCCCCGAAACATATTCACGGTATGAGCGCGTTCCGCCGCCTGCGGCCTCTTTCCCCCCTTCCATGCCTTGTCATTCGCCTGTTGTGCCCCACTTCGGTTCCAGCGTGCCCCCCGCGGCCCCGACAGAGGTCTCTACAAGAACAAGAAACGGCAGAAACATAAATTTTGATCCGCGCGGGCCCGAATTCCTTTGAGTTATTGGATGCGCTGTGGGATTGTTAGATCGCGGATTTTTGGGATCCGCACGGATTTCTTGGATCCGCGGTGGACCCCTTGGAAGCGGAAGATTCAGTCGGTAACTTTGAAGGAGCTGCTTGTTAAAAAGGGCACAGGCCTTTAGTGAAGTGCTGTTGCTCTGTTGCGCGACAACCGCGGCGGCGCGTCCGAATTGCCGAGCCACGTCCTGCGCTCGCGCCCTGAATCTCTTGTCAAGGAGCATCTACAACTCGCTGAACACACGCCTAAAGATCGCAGCGAACCGATGCAACGCGACCCTGACTACTCAAGCACATGCATCGATGGGTAAACTGGCAGGGGAGCAAGAGCCCCCCGCCCCCCGACCGGGCCCTGGCCACGCACCCCAGGGTTTGAAGGCAGACCGAGGACATTACTAAAGCGAAGAAATCGTTTTACTAAGAGAGGACGCGGCTGTATTAAAGCGAAGAAGCGGATTTACTAAAGCGATGAAGCGGATTTAGTAAAGGCGCGCCGCTCAATACATTCCGACACATGACTTTAAACTACAGCAAAAAGAGAACTTCACTAAAGCGGAAGGGCGGTTGGGGTAAAACTGCGCGCATAAATTTCGCTCCTCCCATAAAATCTGGAGCGGGACTCCAAGAACGACGGCGGGGCGCAAACACCCCGTGGGACCGGGCCCCGTCGCCGCCGTCGCCGCGATGTTCGTCGTCGCCGCCGTCGCCGTTGCCGCCGTCGTCGTCGCCGTCGGCGCAAACGCCGCCGTCGTCGTCGCCGTCGCCGTTGTCGACGCCGCGACGCCCGCGCATTCACGTTATTACCAGCGGCGGGTCGAGCGCCACCGCACGCGCCATTGTGCTCGCATTTCCGCTCCTCCGACGGGGGCCCCGGCGGACATCGTGTTTTCCTTCCACACACAACTTTGGGTAAAGTAAGAATGGGGAAATTACGACTCTGAGCATTTCCGGGGTAGTCACAAAATCGAAACATTGAAACAACAACAAATGTCAATCACATGTCGTCGTTGGCAGAGTTCCAACAGGCCCCATTACGATACCCCGAACGAGAATCATTACATGATGGAGAGAACCCAATCATGCATAACATGGTACCCCTCCACGCGGGGTAAGATGATCCGTCTCCCCAATCAAATAGCCGCCAACTGCCAGGGCGCAGCGCCAAGTGAATAGTTGCAACAAGAGCTGAGTGCGGCATAGCGCCAGGGACGGGGACGCAACGAGGAAAGAATCGCTTGGGGCGAAAAAAACAAATGCGTCGCAGTTCCGAGCTCAATTCCGGCTCCTCATTTTGACAAGCCTGGAGCTGACATCACACTCGAACAAGGTGGCTGCACTACAAAAACTTTGGATCATCTGGGTTATTCGCGCTGGCAGATCGTCAACCACCCCGGACGGGTCTCAAGGCAAGCGGTGGCTGCCATCCTCCTGCCCTCCTCCGCCCTCTACCCCGACCCTCCTCCTGATCCGCTGCTGGCTTTCTATCCCCCCCCCGCTCCCATGACTGTCCCGACCCTTCCCGTCCATTCTCTCATTTCATGCCCTCTCCAATGTCCAATGCTGCCATGTCCTCTGCTGCCTCTCCTGTCGTTTTGTCGGTTTCCCTGTCTCTCGCTCTCTCTCTTTTTTTTGTTTTCTCTCTCTCTCTCTCTCTCTCCCTTTCCGTGTATCAGAGTGAAGGGGCCGAACGGTCATTCATTGCCCCTGAGCGCGTGGCTGAAGTGGGGTCCCGCGGTGCGGATTGAATTCTCATCTCTAAAGAATCATGATTGATGATCTCCCCCGTCCGGTTACCATTGTAGCTTTCAATTAAGGTGCTTCTCACGGGGCTCGCACCCTAAGTTTACAAGGGAAAGAGGGGTGCCACCAAACTGAGCCCCTGGCCCCTGGCTTACAACAAGAACGGCTCCCGCCAGATACTTCCTCACAATGGATTCCCAAATCGCGCTTTCGCGCGGGACGTCCTCACAACTTATACAGGAATCGCGCTCTCGCGTGGGACTCCTCGCGATGTATTCACACGCCGCGCCCTCGACACTCAGGAATCACGCTCTCGCTGTGGTTTTCCTCACGATTGATTTCGGAATCGCGCTATTTCTGTAGACCTCCTCGCGATTCATGCGAGACGCACGCTTCAGCAACCCGCCTGCTCGACCTGGTCACCTGGGCCCGCCTTCCCGACCCGCTCGTTAGGGTCTATCCGCCCGATCTGCCCGTCTGGTTATGCCACGTGCTTCCTGTTCCTAGCCCCCCTCCTGCCAATTTCTCTCGTGCTCCATCCTCTCTCTCCCGTGTCCCTTCCTTCCATCCGTCCTCTCTTGCCCTGCCTTCGGGGGTGCACGAAATACACGTTGCAGGCAGGAAACACATCTACTCCCAAGAGAGCACGATCGAATACGAAGATGGTAGGTGTCCAAGGTTTGGGCACCATAAGTGAAGTGGCACGTATGGTTCCCAAACCTTGGACACTGCTATGTTGTTGCTGCTATTGTTGATGCTGCGTTGGTAGTGGCAATGTTGTTGGTGTTGTTGGTGGTGCTGTTGTTGTTCATGGTGCCGTTGTTGTTGTTGTGTTGTTGTTGCTGGTGATGTCGTCGTCCTAGCCCGCGACCCAAGCCGCAACCCACACCCGCGACCCACCCGCGACCCACCCGCGACCCACCCGTGACACACCCGCGACACACCTGGCATCCCACCCAGCGCCTGCGGCGGGCTTTCTCAAATCCTCGCAAACTGCGCACGCCCCCCCCTCACTCTTATCAGCAAATGCGAAGTGCTACGCATAAAACTATAAAACTTGCACATCTATCTTATATCGCTCTCTTGCTCCCCTGCGCGACTCGCACCAACAAAGCCAAAGACTGCTGCTCCTGATCATCTCCCGTTTGATCCTCCGCCTTTCCGTTTTCCTGCACCCCCTCGACGATCCTCGATCTCCACCGTGCCGTCCCCCTTCCCTTTCACTCCCGCGTTCGCTCCTCCTCCTCCTCCTCCTCCTCCTCCTCCTCCTCCTCGTGTTCTCCGCGAATGCTGTCCTCAGAGCTCGGCGCACGGGGCTCCATAGTCGCCATGGCCCTATCCGTGCACACCTCTGTTTATCACTCCCCGTGCTCTGCGATGCCGCCGCCGCGAAAGTCCGCAGGCTGGCCTCCGCGACCTCCGCGGAACCACGGCATGCCCGTGCCAGGAACAAACATCACGACGGCAGATGTGTGGCAGAGGTGTCGGCCTCTGGGGACCGTCAAACAACGGCTCGCGATGATAAGCCGCCCCCGAGGACCCCGCGTTGGAAACACGAGGACGTCGCATGTCTGAGCAGGGCTCCTCGAGCCTCCCATCCCCTGAGCGCCTCTTTGTCAGCCCCTCGTTGCCCCCCCCCCCTTGCACGGTTTCCCGCGGGGCCGTAGGCGACCCGATGAGGAGGAGGAGGAGAAGGAGGAGGAGGAGGAGGAGAAGGAGGAGGGGGAGGAGGAAGGAGGAGGAGGAGGAGGAGGAGGAGGAGGAGGAGGAGGAGGGAGGAGGAGGAGGAGGAGGATGGAGGAGGTGGAGGAGGAGGAGGAGGAGGAGGAGGAGGAGGAGGAGGAGGAGATGGAGGAGGAGGTGGACCTCTTTGAGAACCTCCTTCATCGTGTGCTCTACGCCTCTCCACGTCACCAGCCGCTCCCGCGCCAGCTTGACCACGGCCTCTGCAGGGGTGAAGCAGACGTGCTCCCCCCCCCCGCCCCCCGCCCGCTCACCCGCCTCAAACACGCCACGCAAACGCCTTGGCATACTCCCAGCCAAAAAACGGAATGCAGGTGACCGAGCAAACCCCAGACCATACACTCACGGCCCAAACGTCTGGTCAGAATTCGCAAAGCCGAACGCACTGTAGAGCTCAGACCAAATATCCCGTCGCGATCCGCAAAACGGCACTGCAAACTGCAATACTGTCGGATTGTCGATGGTCGGGAATTCGACGTATGATGCCCACCACCTGACCTTCCCGAGACAAGAGCATACGAGTACGATCCGAAGGACTGCAAGCAAAATTCCCGAGGGCGGATGCATTCAGAATGGTACAGAATGGATCGGAAGGTCTGCAATGCCCAGGGGAAGACGAAAAGGCGTTTGAACTTCTTGCGGTCCGACACAATGCAAACTCGTTTACACGTTGTTCATACTCTTGGAGCCTTTGCGAGCGTTTCCATGCAGCTCACAACCTCTAGAATAAAACGCCTGGGCATGCCTTTCGAACCCATTTGGACCGAAGTGAACCCCGTGCGTTGCTAGATCATGCAGAAGCCAACCTGACCATGATTATGTTTACACTGGACGCGCTTTCCCATTTCGACATAAACTGTCATGCGCACGTGTCCGTTTCAAACCAACTCTTTCGTACGCTGACGCGTAAAAGGCAACATCATCGACAACCAATCCAGGAATTCGCCTGGCGAAGGTCCCAATCCGATGCAGGTGGCGTGCAGCGCAGGGAGGGGCCCTCTGCTCCTGCACTGCGCGACGTGGGAGGGATAGCACCTAGGGCTGCCGAGCACGCGCCTGGGAGCGCGCGGAGCCCCCCTGCAGGAGTAGGAGGAGGAGGAGGAGGAGGAGGAGGAGGAGGAGGAGAAGGGGGAGGAGGGGGAGGAGGGGACGAAGAAGAAAAGGAGGAGGAGGAGGAGGAGGAGGAGGAGGAGGTGGAGAAGGAAGGAGGCGGAGCGTAACCAGGAGGGACATGTCACTCCTCTCTACACCACGCTAGCGCATGGCTTGCTTTGAGCAGACCCCGTGGATCGCGGCATGTCGTAATCCACAAACTGAAAGATCATAAGGCCTGAGAAATCGCTGCACATGGAGGGGCCCTCGGGGGTGCCTTCAAAAGCAGGACGGGAGGACTCCGCGGGCCAGGATGCTATAGACGGCGGGACCCTAAGAGGCACAAGGACGATCTAAGGATTACGGTGGCCCACCGACGGAGGACAGGGAGGCTCAAGCTAGGTGGAGAAGGAAGGAAGGAGGAGGAGGAGGAGGAGAAGGTAGGGGAGGGGAGGAGGAGCAGGAGGGGAGGAGGAAGAGGAGGCCTCCTCTTGGGCACGGCCCCGAGCAAGGTGTACCGATGTGGTCGCGCGGACCGAGCGCTCGCGCCTTCAACGACACCGCAGGTGGGGCTCCGCACGGGGCACGATCCGTATGTCGGAGGCACGCCATCATTGCCGTGGGGACTGCGTGCGGGCGGCCAGCTGGGCAACGGGCCCTGACCCCAGAAAGAATCCCGAGCACCAGGAAAAGTACCGAAGCAGTGCCTCGGGGGTCCTCTGACCCGGGTCAATCCAGACCCGGGTCAGTCAGGCCTTGCAGAGTCCTGCAAAATCCGGGAAAATCCTGCACCTAAACCCGGGTCAATGCGAAGGATCCTGCAAGATCCTGCAGGATCCTGCACCCAAACCCGGGTCAATGCGACCCTGGCCCTGCAGGATCCTGCAAGGTCGGGGCGCTCTGGCTGACCCCCGTTTGCGTTGACCCCCGTCCCAAGGCTCCCGAGTGTCGAACGAGCATCGCCTCCCGGAGTCCCAGAGCCCGACACGTGCAAACCCTTCAGTTTCAGTACGTTCCCGGTGCCCCGAATCCTTGCTGGCGATTCAGGCCAGAGTGGGTACATCATGACCCTCACTGTGCGGAGGGGATCGCCGACGTCGGCGGCGGCAACGCACGCGGCCGCGCTGGGGGCACGCCTTGGACGGCGGGGACCTGCATTTCACGCTGGCGCGGCCTTGGCCTCGTGCAGGCTCTCGCGGGGCTTCCCCCGCGCCCGCGCGCGCACGCCACGCCCCGACACCGAGGCCGACGCCGAGCCAGTCCCCCGGTGGGGCGACTCCGTTTCGCGTAGGTCTCGCTCCCCAGCCTCGGGTGTGACGCGAGAGGACGACCGAGAGAGAGAGAGAGAGAGAGAGAGAGAGAGAAAGGAGCAAACCAAAGAGAAGAGAGAGCGATCCAGGAATCGTTAGAAACGGGATGCGAGAGCGAGAGAGAAAGAGATAAAGAGAAAACAAAAAACAACAAAGATAATAAAGAGAGAGAGAGAGAGAGAAGGGGAGCAAGACACAGTCTGACTGACAGGCAGACAGACAGTCAGACAGAGAAAGAGAGAGAGAGAGAGAGATTGACAGGGCAGTTGACTGACAAGGCAGATGACAGGAGTCAAGGGGACTCGGACAAACGGGAGCCTGACGTGTCAAGAGAGATACTGCGGATGCAGACCTGGGCGGAGCGCATATACAGAGCAACGGTCGGAAGCCTCCACTACGCCCTTGGACTCGCCGAATCGGTCGGGCAAGCTCTGGGGCGCACGTTTCACTTGGATGGCAGGTTGCAGCGCGCAGCGTGGGATCATCGAGCACGCATGCGAAGGCGGCGCCCACGACGACACACACACAAATCATCACAAACACACAAGTCACACACATATTCCTGTTCCCCCAACGCGCAGGTAACTCGAGCCGGTTGACGGCAGTAGAGCTGACACACACACACACACAAAACAACAACAACAACAACAACAACAACAACAACAACAACAATTACTAGCACGTGGGGACACACCGTTCTCACCAGTGCCAGGGTTTTCATAGGAGGCGGGCAATACCCCCACTTTGTGGGGGGGCCGGTTCAAGCTCTACCAAATTTCCAAACGACTCTTCGCCACCACCCACACCCAGCTTCCCGCCCTATGACGTTCGGACACTTCACTTCGTGGCATGCGGACGACCGTGGCTACTATTCAGGGCCCCGCGGCCGACGACGACGGCGTGCGCGCGCGAAGAAAAAACGAATGTGTCCCGCATGGTATTATTTGACAGGGATGATGGCCCTGGCAGGTGCGCAACCGTTGTCGCAGAAGTTCGAAAAAGTTGCTCGCAAAAGCCCGTTTGACAGAAATGTTTAAAAAGTGTTGGGTTTCCTACGAATCCGCAAGAGCGCGCGGGATGAGATTTTGACATTTTTTTGTTGAAAAACCATTGGTTTTTTGATGTTTTTATGTTAAAATCGCTCCGAACACTAAGCTTTTGGAAGGATTTCGTCTTGCGCGCGCGAATGTCCACTTTACCATATTTTTTGCAAGGGATTCTTGAAATTTGATTATATTAGAACAAGAAATGTCATTTTATAGTGTTTTTTGCAAGGGAAAACGGATTACAACAAAACAACCGGATCTTGATGACATCGTATTACCTGAGGCTTCCTCACGAAAATGATGAAAATGTAGCTGCGGCCTAGGCGGCGCAGGGGGGCCGTGCACCAGGGGCCCCAACAATAATTATTCTTTAGAATTAATAATGTTCAACAACAACAACAACAACACCAACGACAACAACAACAACAACAAGAACAACAACAACAGCAACAACAACAATAACAACAACACCAACAACTACAACAACACCAACACCAACACCAACACCAACAACAACACCAACACCAACAAAAACAATCATGTTAAGACGGATCACCCTTATATGCTCGAGTGTCCAATAACGCGTATTTCCCAAACCCTCGATCCCCGCCCTCTTCGTCTTCGATCGAACCCCTTTTGGGGGGTATGTATACCTTTCTTCCCTGCAGGCCGGGCCCCGGCAAGCGGCGGGGCGGCCGCGGACCGTCGGCCTAGCCAGCGGCAGCGCTGATCGGCGGGGCGGCCGCGGACCGTCGACCCGACCCCAAGAGGGACGGACAGGGGACCGAGCACGACGACGACGACGACGGCGACGACGAGCGAAAGCGAGAGCGAGAGAGAACGACAACAGGGCCACGAAGGGCACGAAGTAGGCTACGAAGGGCGACAGCGGGGACACGAAGGGAATGCGTATGGGGCCACGAAGAGCGCGAACGAGCGGGGGCCACGAAGTGCAGATAATGCGGGGCCACAGAAGGCAACTATGGGGCCACTGAGGGTAGCAACTGGGCCACGTAGGACAGTGAGGGGGACACAAATGGCGACAGCGGGGCCACGAAAGGCATGCACATGGGGCCACAACGGGCGCGACTCCTGGGTGCCTGGGTGTCGGGAGCGCGGCGCTTGGGCAAATTGCAAGAAATTCCAACGCAAGGCCATTCTTCAGTAAGTTGCAAGCAAGTCTCCAGCGAGAGCGCGGCTCCAGAGCGCCCGGAGAACGATTCCTGAATAAATTGTAAAGAAGTCCCAAGCGAGAGCGCGATTCCTGAATAAAATGCGAAGAAGTCTCGGGCGGGAGCGGGGGTCCTGGCTAAATTGTTAGGAAGTTTCAAGCGGGAGCCGTTGTTGTTGTAACCCGGGGGCCAGGGGCCCAATTTGAGCATCAAGACGTTCCCTGTCAAAAAACACGGTGCGAGCGTCGAGGGGCACACTTTGATTGAGAAAAAAAGTATGCACCTGTGGGGGGATCAACAATAATTATTCTTCAGAAATGAGAATCCAAAAACAACAACAACAACAACAACAACAACAACAACAACAACAACAACAACAACAACAACAACAACAACAACAACAACAAAAATAATTTCAAGACTGTTCGCCCTTATATGCTCCAGTGTCCAATAACGCGTATTTCCCAAACCCTCGATCCCCGCCCTCTTCGTCTTCGATCGAACCCCTTTTGGGGGGTATACCTTTCTTCCCTGCAGGCCGGGCCCCGGCAAGCGGCGGGGCGGCCGCGGACCGTCGGCCTGGCCAGCGGCAGCGCTGATCGGCGGGGCGGCCGCGGACCGTCGACCCGACCCCAAGAGGGACGGACAGGGGACCGACCACGACGACGACGACGACGACGACGACGACGGCGACGACGAGCGAAAGCGAGAGCGAGAGAGAACGACAGCACGGCCACGAAGGGCACGAAGTAGGCCACGAAGAGCGACAGCGGGGACACGAAGGGAATGCGTATGGGGCCACGAAGAGCGCGGACGAGCGGGGGCCACGAAGTGCAGATAATGCGGGGCCACAGAAGGCAACTATGGGGCCACTGAGGGTAGCAACTGGGCCACGTAGGACAGTGAGGGGGACACAAATGGCGATAGCGGGGCCACGAAAGGCATGCACATGGGGCCACAACGGGCGCGACTCCTGGGTGCCTGGGTGTCGGGAGCGCGGCGCTTGGGCAAATTGCAAGAAATTTCCAACGCAAGGCCATTCTTCAGTAAGTTGCAAGCAAGTCTCCAGCGAGAGCGCGGCTCCAGAGCGCCCGGAGAACGATTCCTGAATAAATTGTAAAGAAGTCCCAAGCGAGAGCGCGATTCCTGAATAAAATGCGAGGAAGTCTCGGGCGGGAGCGGGGGTCCTGGCTAGATTGTTAGGAAGTTTCAAGCGGGAGCCGTTGTTGTTGTAACCCGGGGGCCAGGGGCCCAATTTGAGCATCAAGACGTTCCCTGTCAAAAAACACGGTGCGAGCGTCGAGGGGCACACTTTGATTGCGAAAAAAAACATATGCACCGGTGGGGGGGTCAACAATAATTATTCTTCAGAAATGAGAATTCAACAACAACAACAACAACAACAACAACAACAACAACAACAACAACAACAATTACTAGCACGTGGGGACACTCCGTTCTCACCAGTGCCAGGGTTTTCATAGGAGGCGGGCAATACCCCCACTTTGTGGGGGGGCCGGTTCAAGCTCTACCAAATTTCCAAACGACTCTTCGCCACCACCCACACCCAGCTTCCCGCCCTATGACGTTCGGACACTTCACTTCGTGGCATGCGGACGACCGTGGCTACTATTCAGGGCCCCGCGGCCGACGACGACGGCGTGCGCGCGCGAAGAAAAAACGAATGTGTCCCGCATGGTATTATTTGACAGGGATGATGGCCCTGGCAGGTGCGCAACCGTTGTTGCAGAAGTTCGAAAAAGTTGCTCGCAAAAGCCCGTTTGACAGAAATGTTTAAAAAGTGTTGGGTTTCCTACGAATCCGCAAGAGCGCGCGGGATGAAATTTTGACATTTTTTGTTGAAAAACCATTGTTTTTTGATGTTTTTATTAAAAAATCGCTACGAAAACTAAGGTTTTGGAAGGATTTCGTCTTGCGCGCGCGAATGTCCACTTTACCTTATTTTTTGCAAGGGATTCTTGAAGTTTGATTATGTTAGAACAAGAAATGTCCACTTTACCTTATTTTTTGCAAGGGAAAGCGGGGGACAACAAAACAACCGGATCTGGATCACATCGTTTTGCCTGAGGCTTCCTCACGAAAATGATGAAAACGTGGCTGCGGCCTAGGCGCGGCGGGGGGGGCGCGCACCAGGGGTCCCAACAATAATTATTCTTAAGAAGAAATAGTGTTCAACAACAACAACGAAGAGACAACCATCCACAAGCGCGCGCACAGGAGGGTGCGCGACAACAACACATTCACACACACACTTTTCCTCCGACGCGGCGATAGGTGCGATGACTGGGATGCACTGTTTCGGATCACGCGGGAAACGAGCTGACGATCTTGTGTGGTAGCAAGCGCAGACTCCGTTAGCCTCGATGAGGGTCACGCCTGGGGCAAGGCCACAGAGCGGCAAAGCCAGGTGCGAGCAGCTGCAGGGGGCTCAGGAAAACAGAATACAGTGGAGATCAGTCCATAAGAAACCTTCCACAAGAAGCCCAACCCTGAGACCCCAGGACGTCCCTTGATTTTTGGTGTGGGAGCGTCACGCTTTCCATCGCAAAACCATCGAAACCAAAGAAACCCAGGGCACCCTGGAGGCAAGCTGGGTGTTTCTTGGCACCCACCCACCCACCCAACCAACCACCCACCCACCCACCCACCCACCCACACCCACACACACACACACACACACACACACACGCACACACACACACATATAATATATTATATTATATATATATATACATCAGAATATATATGGGGAGATCCCGGGCCCCGGGCCCCGGGCCGGAACCTCCCTTGTATATAGGGTGCGGCCCTCTCCCGGGGCGCCCTTCCGGCGGCCCCCGCGCGTTCCAGCCCGGCTCCAGGAGCGCCGAGAGAACCCCAGGATCGCTTCAAGACCGCCAAAGATCGCTTCCAGAAGGGTCAAGAGGCGCTCAAACCGCCCCAAGAGGCCTTCAAGAGGCCCCCCACGAGCGCCCCGGGAGACCAAAATAGCCCCATTCCCTTCGTAAAACGTACATTTTTACGATATCAGCTCCCTTAGCTGTCGGAGCGGCCAGAAAGCCCCACGAGGCGCCCAAGTACGCTCCAGGACGACTGAGGACAGCCCCAAGACGGCCCAGGAGGGCCTCCCGGGACGCTCCTCCGGCGGCCCCCGGGCTGCCCAGTCCGCCCAAGAAGGCTCCAAGAGCGCCGAGAGAACCCCAGGATCGCTTCAAAACAAAAGATCGCTTCCAGAAGGGCCAAGAGGCCATCAAACCGCCCCAAGAGGCCTCCAAGAGGCCCCCCAAGAGCGCCCCGGGAGACCAAAATGGCCCCATTCCCTTCGTAAAACGTACATGTTTACGATATCAGCTCCCTTGGCTGTCGGAGCGGTCCGAAAGCCCCACGAGGCGCCTTAGGATAGCCCGAAGACAGCCCAGGAAGGCCTCCCGGGACGCTCCTCGGGCGGCCCCCGGGCCTCCCAGTCCGCCAAAGAAGGCTCCAAGAGCGCCGAGAGAAGCCCAGGATCGCTTCAAGACCGCCAAAGATCGCTTCCAGAAGGGACAAGAGGCCATCAAACCGCCCCAAGAGGCCTCCAAGAGGCCCCCCAAGAGCGCCCCGGGAAACCAAAATGGCCCCATTCCCTTCGTAAAACGTACATGTTTAGGATATCTCATCCCTTGGCTGTCCGAGTTGTCAGACAGCCCCAGGAGGCGCCCAAGGACGCCCCAGGACGCCTGAGGACAGCGCTAAGAGGGCCTAGGAGGGCTTCCTGGGACGCTCCTCGGGCGGCCCCCGGGCCTCCCAGTCCGCCCAAGATTGCCCAAGAGACTTCCCGGTCGCCCCGAGAGGGCCCCCGGAGCGCTCCGATACGGCCCAACATGGCCTCCAGAAGGGCCACGAGGCCGTCAAGACGCCCCAAGAAGGCTCCAAGAGGCCTTCCAAAAGGGCCCCGGGAGCCAAAACTTACTCCATTCCTTTCGTACCACGTATCCAACTTATTCCAAAAGCCCGAAGAGGCGCCCAAGGGCGCCCCAAGACAAGCTTGGGAATGAGGCCTCGCACGAACGTGGAAACGGGCGCCCAAGGATTCAGAAGGAAGGAGGATACGGTGGAGCGGGGATGAGCCTCTTCATTTGAGATGTTGAGGCGTTCGGGTTCGATTTCTGGGCTCGGGTCTTCGGTCTCAAGGTTCGGGTCTAAGGGTGAGGGTGTCATGGAAAGATTGTTCGGGTTTGAGTGCTCTCGTGGATCTTCTTGGGAGCCTCATGGGCCCTCTTGGGGCCATTTTGGGCCGTCTTGAGGCCGTCTTGGGCTGTCTTGGGGCCATCGTCGGCAATCTTGAGGCCCTCTTGGAGTCCCAAGAGGCCCAAGAGGCAGAAATTGTTGATTTTCCATAGGTCTTTCTATGTTTTGAGGCCCAGAATGAGGCCCTCCAGATTTGGTCCGACGATGTGGCGCGGCTCCAAGGGGGGGGGGGCATAATATTGCAGAACGATACAATATGTAGCATATGTAACAAGTATGCAATCGTTGGATACACTGGACACGTTGCATTAAAGCATTTCCCCCCCGGCGGGGGTGGGGGGGGGGTGGGGGGGCATTGGCTTCTGGCAACACGTCATTTCGGACGTAGATTTCCACGCGAATCGCCACCTTCACGGACCCGTGCTTGCAGAACACCGGTTTTCGGAAGCAAACTAGAAACCTAAGCGCGCGCGAAGCGCGCGCGTGGTTCTAGTTATCTATATATTATATATATAATATATATTATATAAAATATATATATTGTGCGTCGGGCGGACGATCAGAGGCGACGCTACGGGCGAAGCGGATGGGCACCAGGGGACACCCTGTATCCAAATTAGGGCCGCAATGCACGGACACACCCACACACACACACTCTCACACACACACACGACCGCACGCGCACCTGCACATACGCACGCCAACATGCACGCGAGGACCACCTCAGACAGCTTTCCTCCGCCGCGCCAAAGAGTCCCATCGGCGGGCCATGCAAAACGCCAAATTAGCAAATATATAACTCCCTTATCACGTAGCGTGGCCAATAAGCCGCCTCACACGCAACACACAACACACACGCACACACACACACACACCGATGGCGATATATCCCGAAACTCGCTGCAGACGGTCGTGACTTTGCCACCAGTTCGGCCATCGACTCCGTCGTCCAGAGGGAGCCAATATCGAGCGATGTTGAAACTGAATGCGCGCGTGGAGCCATACACAATGAGAAAAGATCTGCAAGGCACAACGCGTGCAACAAGTCGGGCTGGGCGGTCGGCTCTCCGGCGCACGTCAGCCAATACAGGCATGAATGCACACGCCGGATGGCAGTCCCTGTCCGTCCCCCTTTGTCAACTCGACTGCTGCATGGAATCTGGGACTGCTCGCGGAACCTCGGGCTTCCACTTGCGGAGTTCCACCTGCGCAGAATGGAGGGGCAGGAATGTGAGCACGTGGAGGCGAGAGCAGGGGAATGGGAGAGACACCATGGCCGAGCATGGCTCACTGAGACACCCACGACGTCGGAAGAGACCTCCATCCCCTCGTCCCGCCCATCCCGTCTCCCCAAAGTCCTTCCCCTCGCTCCACTCACCTCGCCTCGCCCCGCCCTCCCCTCCCCTCCCCGAAAACTGCCCTCCCCTGGCCTTCCCCCCACCGCCCACCCACGCCCCGCGCCCTCCTGCGCGGGAGGAGAGCGCTGCGAGGACTCGGGCTGTGCGAACGCCCCACCCCCCCGCCCTGCCCTGGCAGGCGCACGACCCAGAGAGCGAAAGGGGAGGGCCTGGGAGGAGCGAGGCGAAGGGGGGATGGTGGGGGGGGCGAGCGAACCAGCAGCGGTGCAGGGAGGCGGGGGGGGACGGCGGTCCGGGAGGGGGGGCGGGGTGGCTTTTGGCAGAGAGGGAGGGGCGCAAGGAGGGCGTCGGAGAGGGGGACGGGGGGGGGGACTCCCCGAGCGGCTCCCTGCGTCCCACCCTCCTTCCTGGATCTGCCCCTTCGGCATCCCGTCCCATCCCCTCTCCCCGTCCTCCACATCCGCCGTGTCCCTCGTTTCCATTCCCTCCTCCCTCTCCTCCCTCTTCCCTTTTCCCCGTCGATCTCCATCGGGTGTTCCTTCCGACACCCGACCTGTTCCAAATCCAGAAAGACGAAAGTCACCCTGGGGAGCAAGGCGTCGTCGAACGCCGCATCACGCCGATCGCTGAAGCTGTCAACCGCCACGCCGATGAACTCGCGACCGCTGGGGCGAGACTCCACATCTCACAAAACGTGGTCGACACTGCTAGACGGCGACGCAAGTTCGCCGCTGTACTCCACAGCGTGTCCGTCACCATATACGGCCAGCGACGCCACACGCTCCCGCTGCCCCACAGGAGAGCAGGGAACTCGAAGTCTGAACTCTGCAAAATGTAACCAAACCAACCCACCACCAGACAAAGGGGGAGGGGCACAAGTCCATTAAAAAGACCACCTCCGATGGCCAGGCCACCAGGCGCGAACCATGTCGACGGACTCGATGACCCCTGGTCGCCAATCGCGGACGACTTCAGACTTAATGACATCGACCAGGTAGGGCTCGGCGCTTCCCTCAAGGAAATCAGCGGCCGCGACATCTTTTTACTGCGTCACCTCCTTGGCACTGCCAGCGCTGCCGAAGACCACCTTGAAGAAACGGCAAACGCTCAGCCGCTCAAGGCACGATGGCCACCCATCATTCTCAACTCAACGCGCCCCTCCAGTCGCCCATCAGGGATCCGACGGGGACGGCCGCGAGGCCAGGGGTGACGAGCACCACGCCAGCGATACCGCGCAACGCACGGACAGCAGGCAAGCCTTCACGCAGCACCCCACTGCGGCAAACGGCCAACAACAAGGGGACGACGAGACAACTCTCCCCGCCAGCATACAAGCGCACCACAAGCGAACCAATCAGCACCGCTGAACGACAAGGCCAACCGTGCGCAACAAGGCTTGGAATGGCCTGCAAACGTTCCGGCCTGTTGCGGCCATGGGAATGTCCCCCCCACGGCAACCTCCAAAACCCCGCCTTGTCCCCGGCACCCGGTGCTAGCCCCTCTCCTCGTCGGGCCTCGTGAACTGCTGGCGCCTGTTCCGTCATCTACTCTTTCTGGGCCGCTGCGGGGGATGCCCAAATACAGCGCCGCTCTTGCGGGCCCCAAAATATACACCACCACCAGGCGGCCATAGGAAAGAACAACATCCTGCGCGCGTCCGCCCTGACAGCGGTACCACTGACTGCCGCCGCCAAGCGCAAGTACTTGCCACGTGGTCATGCGCGCAAGCGGCGGCCGCATTCGGTCGCGAATCACTGTTCCTAAGCATCCTATAACAAAACGGTGGTGACATATATCAACGATGGACACCCCGGGAATTTTATACACCACCCCGAAATATACACCACGGGAATGTGTTATTGATTTTTCTGCGCATGCAGCCGCGCGCCCAAATGACGCTGCACACGCGACATGTCATTACTGCGAGATTTGACGCACCCTGCAACCCACCGCCGAACAAATAATCCGATCACCCCCCATGACAGAAGACCAGCCCGCGGTGGTCATGTATATGCGTGGGTCCCAAAGCGTGCGGCACGCCAGTGCCTCTCTCTGCACGGAGGCGCAGTCGGTCACCCGAGAGGTCTGATCACCGCCGCCCGCCCCTTCTCTTCCAGACGGGGGCCCCCCATTAGTCCGCCCAAGGGGGAGACTCATCCCCACCGCCCCTGTTCCATGTGCGGCGCCTCCCGGTTTGCGAGGGGCCTGCCGGGCACGTGCGGCCCGGGGGCCTGCCTTGAAGACGCTTCGTCGCAACTGTTGTGGCCTCCCCATCCCTCTCCTGCCTCCCGGCCCACTTTCCGCCCCCTCCTCCCCTCCTCGCCCCTCCTCCCCACCCCCCTCCCCTCTTTTCTTTTCCCCTGTCCTCCCTCCCCCCCCTACAGTTCCTTCGGGAGACCGAAGGGTACCAAGGCCGCTACTCCCCGGACCTCTCCCAGGGTGCGTTCTGACCAGAATTCCGAGGCGAATCCAACGCTGGCAACGAGGGCCTCCGAGGAGGCCGACAAAAAAAGGAAACCGGGCGAAGGGCAGCCGAATCCGAACCTGGTCCACTTCTGATCACTTCCCCCATCTCCACACTTGCGCCGTCTCCCTGTTGGATCCTTGGCCCGCGGCTGCAGACAGTGATTCCCGCCACCTTCCCTCCTTGCCCCTTCCCCCCCCCCCCGCGCCTCCCTTCTCTCGTTTCACCTGTCCTCCCTCCCTCCTCCTGCCCGCTAGAATCACTTCCCCCCCTCCCCCTGTGCGCCGCGTCTCCCTGCTGGATATCCTTGGCCCGCGGCTGCAGGCAGCGAAGCCCGCCACCTCCAGCAGGCCCAGGTCTCCGAGCTCCATCGCGGCCTGGCGGCGGCGCCGCTGCGGTGGGCGCGGCTGCGGGGCACGATGCGCCGCGGCCCCGCCAGCATAGAGGCGCAGCGGCTTCCAACAACACGCCACCGCCGCGTCTCCCCTTCACAGAGGAGCCGCTCGGCCGGGAGGACCTTCCCCTCCTCCTCCTCCTCCTCCTCCTCCTCCTCCTCCTCCTCCTCCTCCTCCTCCTCCTCCTACTCGCCTTTCTCCTCCTCCCCCTGACGCTCCTCCTCCTCCTCCTTCTCTTCTTTTTCTTCCTCCTCCTCCTCTTCCTCTTCCTCCTCCTCCTCCCCCTCCAACCCTCCTGTAGAGGGCACGTGTGCAACTCATGTGGTGTCGACGCAAGGTGACCGATTTGCGAAACCCTGAACCCAAAAGTGTTGTCATCTCTTGGAAACTCATGTTTCACTTCCGCCGGCCTTCCGCGGGCCTTCCGCCGGCGGAGGCGGCCTCGTTCTACTTCCGCCGACCTTTCGTCGACCTTCAGCCGCGGAAGAGATGACACATCCTTCGATCCTCGAAGGCAAGGCCTTTTTTGGAACGCCTCATGCGTGTACGAGCGGCCACTGGCTGAATGCGCAGCCGAACCGATTGGGAACCACATGGCGCTACGAAACACATGTTTGGTGATGTGACCTGCGCGGTCACCCCGCTGGTAACTCAGCGCGTCGTGTGTTCAGCTGCCTGTCAGCGAGGCTTGGAGTTCATTGCAGGAATGCACCTTGCAATGATGCGCATGCTGGAATAGTCCATCGCCTTTGCACTACACGCAGCAGGTACGCAAAAGCCGCAAACGCACGATCACGATCACAATCATGTTACACAGTACGTCTTATGCCTTATGCTCACTTTCTCGACTAGCTGGCGTGAACTCACAGGTCCAGCCCGAAGCCTTACGGTTGGGAGCTTCCAGTAGTAGCGTGCCGTGCGGAAAATACACGTGCGAGCGCAAGTGGCAGCATCACGCATGGATTCATGAGAGCAAAGAGAGAGTCACCACCACCACCACAACTCCACAGAACTCCGCTCCCGAGAACCCCCCCCCTGAACTCGTGGCACTCCGTCCTGGGCACTCTCAGGGGGCGCGCCAGGAACGGGGTGCCACCGCTCGGGGGGAGGGAGCGGCCGGCACCCCTAGCTGGTGGTGGTTGCTCTGTCGTCTCTGATTCGAGGAGACGTAAGACTCGGGTTCGGAGGACCTGGGTTGGCCTGGCGGGGCCATCCTGAAAATGACGAGACCCAATCTGAAACTTGACGCGAGCTCCCGCTGCAGACATCTCACAGAAACTGGACCGTCAAAATCCAGGACGCGCTCGTCAGAAAACGCCAGCACACCCGAGTTCCGGCGCACTCGAGTCTCACGTTTCCCCGACTGATGATCGATGCTCACTGTCCAGATAGCGGCTGCGTGGCACCAGTGCGCCAGCACTGGCGACGCAGCGGGGACGGCGGGGAGGACGGGGCGGACGGCCACGACGCGCACGAGGAGGACGGCGGCAGCACCGGCGGCGACGACATAACCGGCGGCGACGACGACGCGGACGGCGACGACGACAGCGGCGACGACGACGTGGACGGCGACGACTGCGACGGCGCCGGCGGCGACGACGACGACGACTGCGGCGGCAGCGACGACGTCGACGGCGGCGACGACGCCGACGTCGACGACGACGTCGACGCTGGCGACGAAAGCGACGCGGTCGGCGACGGCGGCGGCGGCAGGCGCGGCGGCCAGCGAGGAGGGCGGGCGCCTGCAGCGGCGGCAGCTCGCGCATGGCGTGGCGGATGTGGTCGGTGATCTGCCGCTCGGAGGACAGCTGCACCTCGGTGTGCCGCCGCGCCTGGGGGCGAGGAGCGGAGGCCGCCTCCAGAGGCCTCCTAGATTGGGTCCGAGTAGCCGGGGTCGGAGGACCTCGCCGCATCGCCGATACGTCGGCGATGCATCGCCGATGCATCGGCGGTGCATCGGCCAAGCACTGGCGACGTCGGCGACGCCGGCGTGGCGAAAACTGGGCCCCACATCGAGCCGCATCGCTGATGCATCGCCGATGCATCGGCGATGCGGGGCGATCCTCCGACACCTCAGCGCCTCGGGGCGGGGGCGGGGAGCGGAGTGCGGGCAAAACTTGTGTCCAGATCCGCTGCAGCTTGGAGTTTCGGGCTCCCTTCCCCAGAAAGCCGAGGCGCACTGGATATGGTTAAAAGTCTGGCCCCGAATTTTATCAACATCCAGTGCGCCTCGGCCTTGCGGCGCCTCTTCCACGAAAGTCTAAGACGCCCTGGATATGGATGTATAAAGATTGCCCGCGCGGAGGCCGCCTCGGTGCTTCGAGCTGGAAGGGCGTCCACCTCGGGCGCCCGCTGGGCCTGGCACCCAACCTGGGTACGCTTCGAGCTGGGCGCCCGAGCCGGAGGGGTGAGGGGGGTAGCGGAGTGAGGCATCCAGCGGCCTGTGGACACAAGGCTCCGCTGCCCGATGCCCGTGCTCTAGCCACCTGCTTAGGCCGTCCTTGGGGGGGGAGCGCAGGGGAGGGAATAGGCGGGGAGACGTGGGCGCCTGAGCGGCGGCTGCACGGGAAGGGGGGCCGTCGTGGAGCCCTCATCGGCTCCTCCAGGCTCGCGACCTCAGGTGCCCATCGGAGGCGAAAGGGCGCTACGGCAGGCATCGATGGAAACTCTGTTGCTGCAGGATTCTGGCCTCTCGGGGGTATCCTTGGCGGGCTCAGTGGCAACTAGTAGCCGACGGTGCGAAAAAGGCACCTCTGGTCAGGCACGCTTGCTCGGCGTGTTGCAGGCTTGATGTGTGTGTGTGATTGTGTGTCTGTGTGTAAGTGTCAGTGAAAGTGAAAGTGCAAGTGCAAGTGCAAGTGCAAGTGCAAGTGTAAGTGTAAGTGTAAGTGTAAGTGTAAGTGTAAGTGTAAGTGTAAGTGTTTTTGTTGCTTCCCTCGCGGCGGCCGTCGCGGTGAACTACTCGCCCTCCAGGCGGCCGTTGTTCTCCGAAGCACTGGCGACAAGTAGATCGACGGGCTGGCCTACCCCAGAAATAGAGAAAGTGCGCTAGAAGAGCGACCCCAATCAGCGCGCGACCCCAATGAGGGCGGCATGGGAGGGGAGAGAAGGAGGAGGAGGAGGAAGGGGAAGAGGGGGGGCTGACTGATACAAACATGCCCCAGATACGTAACTCACTGCCGAGCCAAGGATCCAAGAACATCACTGCCGAGCCAAGGATCCACCTGGCCGAAGTCGGCAATGCACCCGCCTGCCCCTGAGCAATAAATCGCCGCAGGGCTCTGTACAGCCGGTTCGCCACGCACCTCTTGCGAAATGCCAACATTTCCGCGACGTGCTCGGGGCGGCAATGCGACGGGCCGGGCCCGGACAACGGCGGATACATAATGCCCTTCAGCGGATTCTCTGGCGCGCCCGCAGCAGCCGGCGCCTGCGCGTCTGGGCTTGCCTCGGCGGCTGGCGGTGCAAGGGCCGCCGCACCGAGCGTGGAGCGAGGCAGCAGTTCGTTCGCCCAGCGGTGCTGGCCCTTCAGTCCGCCCACTGCCTTCGACAGCGCGCCCTCGCGAGCCAGTCGCCTAGCCCTGGACGCAGCTGCAGCCTTCGCCTGGCCAACCGTCCTGGCGGCCGTCGATCTCCCCGAAGCGGCCACCTGCGTCTCGACGCGCGTCAGCAGCCCGGCCAGGTCCCCAGCCTCCCAGAGCGCCATGCGGCGCTCAAGTTCGACGACGTTGGAAATCCCATACGGGATTCCGTGCAACACCAATTTCGGGAAGGCCTCTCCGAGCTCGCCCCATGCAGGGTCGTCGTCCAAGATCCCCTCCAAGCAGTCCGCGAATGCCGCGCAAGCACGCTCACGCAGGCACTTCGGGATGTGCACGGTCGAAGCGCCTGAAATGCGCCGCGTGCGCTCCAGGAAGCCGTCCGGCGCCGCCGGGGCAATGCCGCGCTGGGACCGGCTCACTGGCGATCTCGCGTTGCGGCGGTGTCCGAAGCCATCCACAGGCGAGCCCACGAAGGACGCCCACCGCTGGCTCCGAGCCCGACCGCCGCGGTCTCGCCGCAATGAGCCGTCAATGCCCTTCCGCTGAGCCGCAGCTCCTGGTGCGTCTCCTGGCGGAGTCGACCCAGCTGGCTCACCAGCACCTGCGCCAACTGAAACTCTGGCCCCATCGGGTGCCCCAGGGTCTGCTGCAACACCGGCGCCTGGCATGCTCTCGTCCCTGGGTCCCCCAGGCGCCGCAGGCCGACGGGCCGCGTGGGCGTGGGCCGCTGCCGCCTGCGCAGCTGCCACATCAAGAGGCGCTGCCGCTGCTGCCACGGGCGTAGCTGACTGCGACGCTGCAGCGCCGCTCGCCTCGTCACTGACAGGCCCCACGGGTGGCAATAAAATGCCGTCGCCCACTTGAGCCCTCCGCGGTACTCGCGCACTGCCGCACCGGCCGCATGCCCGCCCGCGCAGGGAGCGAAGCAAGTGGCAGTCAGGGCACCAAGTGTAAGTGTAAGTTTAAGTGTAAGTGTAAGTGTAAGTGTGAGGCCCCCGGAGGCCGAAAATTGAGAAAACCTCCCGTCGTGTTTCTTTCATAACACGAGGGGGTCTGGGAAGCACAGTGCGCCAGAACGGGCGGCGCGGCACGATGAGCATACGCTTCAGACTGTGTCAACGCCATGCGGAGCGAGGGCCTGCACAACGTCCTGGGGCTCGGAGGTGGCCCGGGCCAGGCGCGGTGACGGTACACAGCCGCCCTCGGCGGGGCGGAGAGAGGCGAGGGGCGAGAAGAAACGAGCCTCACGCACCATGGCATGACGACCTCACGCTACGCTGACGCGGGCCGCCAGCGCGGCACGCGCCATGGGAGACGAGGGCGCTCACGCGCGAACTCATTAAGGCACCTGCCGCGCGAACGTCCGCGCACTTTCTTACACCGCTCAGGCAGAGGCAGGCAGAGGCAGGACACGAATGGGAGGGAGGGGAAGTCGGCGGAACGGAGGCTTGAGCAGGGGATGGTCTACAGAATTGATTTACACCAAAATTTGTTTCCTCATCGGATCTACGACGGATGAGTCGAAATTTCGCAAATATACTAGAAAGTCTAAGTAATTCCCGTCGGCTCGAAGAAGAAATTAATTTTGGGGTATATAAATTCTGTAGTCGATCCTCTACTCGAGAGGCTGAGCCGGAGAGGTGCTGCCTCGCCAAAGATTTGGCCGCACCCACTGCCCCAGCCCGGCGCGCCTCCGCCAGCTGGTGCTCCATGGCCATCTTCTCCTGGGGCCCAGGCCCGGTGGCAACTCATGGAAGCCTCCCATACCATCTTGTCGGCTTTTCCGAATCGATACGAATCGATGCTAAATTGACACTGAATCGGCACTGTCTCATTGACCCCCAGACGCTAGTAGACGCTGAAGACGGGACTGAGATGGGGCATCAGGCCCCCATGATTTGCCACCGACCCCAAGGCTGGCAGGTCTGCGGCGCAGGGCCTGGGCGGCAAGTTCTCGTCTCTTTACACATCCACAGCCGCAGAGCCCTTGCAGAGCCTGGGCCAAACTTCCTTGCGCCGAGCATTACCCGCAGCCTAAGGCTGGGCGGCCGGGGGGCGGCGGAAGAGGGAGGAGGAGGAGGGAGGAGGAGGAGGAAGAGGAGGAGGGCGAGGAGGAGCAGGGCGGGGACCAGTGCACACCAAACACTCATCAACGATGCTGGAATAAACCCACCCTCCAAGCTCCCTCGCCGTATGCCCCTACAAATATTCATTTCTACAGGAAAACGTGTGGTTTCGGGAGACATCCGCGTGAAGATCCTGATGCGCGCCAAGACACCATTGTCTAAGACTTTAACGCCACGGAACAACCTGACTGTTGCGTCTTGACGACCCCCCCGCCTGCCAGACCACCATTCCTGGGACTTCCACACCGCGAATCACCGGAACTCTTGCGCCTTGGCCTTCCTGACTCGCTCCCAAACGCCATCTCTGGTACGTTAACGATGGGGATCCGTGAAGCCCTTGCAAATGCTCAAGACGAGCATGCGCGGCGCTAGGGCGAGGGCCACACGTTGGAAATAAACCGCTCACTGAAACGCTCGCTTTAAATGTCATAAGTCTCCATTGCGGCGACGCTCGACAGCGGTGCCACCCAAGAGGGAAGGACGGCACCCAATCAGAGTTGGGTGAAGCCGCGGCCGGACGCCCCCCGATCCGAATTGCCGACCCGCCACGTCGACCGACGCTGGCGGGTGGCGCGTCAGGGCGCCGGCCGAAGCACATGGGTACCATACTCCCCTCGAGGGTGGTGGGGCGGTGAAAACGAAACCGCGACCGCGGACGCGTCCGCCGCACTATGGCGAACGGACGCGCCGCGCGTCGCCCCAGAGGTCAACCAAAGCTGCGCTATGGCAAGCAGAGGAGACACCCTGGGCGGACGCCCTGACCCCCAGAGTGCCACTATGGGCAGGTAGGGCGCCACATGCATGACCGGGGACTTGATATCCCGCCCCGCGGCCAGGCGGCAGAGTGGAGACGACACGACCGCGCGCGGAGGTGAGGAGAGCAGGAGAGGACCCCGACGCACGGCCGCGCGGCATGCGAGCAAACCCGCGCGGGAGGCAGGCCCGCCAAACGGAACGGCGCGCGGCGGGTGGTCACGCAGCCGCCCGCCGTCGCGCTCTGCGACGCCGGCGGGACGCTTCCCCCGCTACTGTCGACTTATGACTTGCAATAACAAGTTGTTACTGCCCATACACGCGGCACTACAGCTGGAACTGTGATCAACCATATTATAAATTAATTCGCCGGCCCAACGGGCCAGAGGCGTGCTAAGATCTCCGGTAACTGGTTAACAATTCTCTAGTTCGCGCGCGCGGGGCGGCCCCTGGGGGTCCCCGGACGAAAAGTATCCCGGGCGATCCCCGACCGATCCCCGGGAGACTCCTCCAGATCGCTCCAGGAGCGTTCCAGGAGCGCACCAACAGGGCTCCGAGACGTCCCCGAGAGCCCCAAGAAAGGCCAAGAGGCCCCCAAGAGGCCCCCAAGATGGTACACGAGGGGTCCGACATGCCACAAGATCGCTCCAAGACGCCCCAGATAGCCCCCAGACGCCCCAAGAGGCCTCCAAGAGCACTCCCAAGAGGGCCCCCGGAGGCAAAATTCATTGCTTTTCCTTAGGTTTTTGAAAGATTTTGGAGCTTCCACCTTTTCGGCTTCCCGACGCCCCAAGACGGCCCAAGAGGCCCCCAAGATCGCCCCAAGAGGGCCCAAGAGGCCCCCAAGAGGGCCCCCAGAGGGCCCCAAGATGGCCCAAGAGGGCTCGAAGACGACCCAAGAAGCCTCCAAGACGGTCCAAGAGGGCCCCAAGAACGCCCCCAAAGGGGCCCCAGAGAGGGAACACGAAACAACATTTCGAGCCCTCGGCCCTAAGAAGCCCCTACGAGGCCCCAAGAGGCCCCCATGAGGCCCCAAGAGGCCCCCATGAGACCCTCAGGAGGCCCCCAAGAGTCCCCCAAGCGGCCCCAGGAGGCCCCCCAAATGCCCCCCCGAGCGCCCCAGGAGTCCCCCAAGCGGCCCCAGGAACCCCCAAAGCGCCGCATTGACACCAGGCCCTCGGGCAAACGGCAGACATGAGACTGTATGGGCCGGCGGAATGAGCGAAGCGATTAAATTATAAGTTAAGAAATCCAGGCCAGCGCTCGAGCGGCGAACGTGCTCAAAAAGCAGGGCCAGTCTTCCGGTAACCTGGTCAAGAAACGCTGGCCCACATTTCCGGGAGGAGGTTTACTAACCATATGCTCGATTGTAACGCGAGAGCCACATTTTGAAAAAGAACTGCCCACAATCCGCGAAGCTTGTCAATGGTCAACTAAGACGGGTGTGCGCGGTGCTAAGGCGAGAACCACAACGCGAAAACCACCCTCCCTGAATCCGCGAGAATCTTGTAATTGTTGAAGACGCCTGGTCGCACTCTTTCGCCAAAATGACCCAGACATCCGGCGTCTCGATTCTTGCCGACACACAGTCCTCCGACCATTTCCCCCTTGACTGGCCAGTTATTCCGAATTATGTTTGAGGGCCCCGAGGCCTGGTAAGGGCCCCCAGAGGCCGAAAGCTATGGGAATCCTCCGTCTCGGGCTTTTCGAGGCGGTCAAGGGCGAAGCTCGTCCGCGCGGAGGCAACCAGAAGCCGGCGGTACGCGTCAGGTCCTGCACGAATCAGGCCGAGGGGGGCGGGACCGGGCGCGAAAGAGCAGGACCAAGGAAGGTAAGCAGAGCACAGCGGAAGAGAAGTAGAAGAAGCAACACAGAAGGCTAGTGCGGTGTGCGCCACTGCCGCGCCACGCGCGGGCACTCCAAGGGCAGCGGGACGGACAGGGGGGAGGGAGACAACGGCCCAGGGCAAGGTCAGAGGCAGGTGAGGAGGAGGAGGAGGAGGAGGAGGGGGAGGAAGGGGAGGGGGAGGGGGAGGGGGAGGGGGAGGGGAAAGGTCTGGGAGGATGCATGGCCCAGGCCGAGAAGACCACGGGCTCCTCCACGATCTTGACCTCACAGGCGGCGCGGAACTCGGCCATCTTGCTCGTCATGTCGGCCTTCTCCTGCCCCCCGGGGCACGAGCAGAATCCCCCAGAGACTCACTGTACCCTACCAATGGAGGGCCTGGCGCCACCACCGCTGCACGAAATCTCCTGCACGAAATACTGGACCCCCCCGGAAGCACACTGTTGCCCCTGGATGCTGTATGTTTTGGGTGCTGTCCCCGAAGAAGTGCACGCTCGGAGGGCGCTTCGACCGTCCGCAGCCCTCTCCTCCCCCTTCCCTCCTGCCAGTCATTCGCCTCTGTGTCCTACTCGCACCGCGGAATCCCTGCTCAGATTGACCGCAGTCTGGATTCGAGGCGCCGCAGACCGCAAAGTGTGCGCGGGCTGCCTGGAGGCGTTTCGTCTGCGCTCAGCCCCCCCTCGCCCCACACTTGTTTCGTCGGCGGCGAGGCAGAGGCAGCCCGCTCCAGCGTGTGACTCTTCGGGGCAACCGAAAGGCGAATTGATCGGCGTGCATGAGGGAGGATACAGACGAGGGCGGCCGCGCGGGGGAGGATTTTTGTCTTTGTTTGTTAGTAGTATCACGATTATTCTTCTTATCATTACTATTGATCTTCTTATTTCCCCCCCGACCCCACACATGGGAATGAAAGGTGTCCCGTTCACGCGGCTCTCCAGATGACGGCTCGGCGTCACAAGGATCACGTCTTTAAGCGGTTTCTGCAGCTGGAGTCGAAGCCAGAAGACTACATGTGTGAAACGCGTCCTGTGCTTCGGATAAACACCCCGATGAGGCGCAGCTGCAGACACATTCCATGGCCGCACCAAACACATGCAAATAGTCCACCACGGAAGGAAGCGGGCAAAACCACAGCTCGGCGAGGCTTGGGGGGGAGAGAAGGAGCAAGGAGGAAGATCGGGAGGACTAGGCGAAGGAGATGGACGCGGGGTCAGGGTGGGATTGTCAGAGGGAAGAGGAAGGATGAGATGGAGAAGGAGGAGAAGGGGGAGAGGTGAGTGCCTTGCCGGCCCTCCTCCTCCTCCTCCTCCTCCTCCTCTTCCTCCTCCACCTGCTCCTTCTCCCCACTCATCAGCCTACTCCTCCTCCTCCTCCTTCTCCCCTCCCCCATCGCCTCTGTTTACATAGGTTCTCCTCATCTTCCTCATCCACGTCCTCCCCCCCGTCTCATCCCCTTCCTTCCCTTCTGGACACCCCCTTTCTCCTCCCCAGCCGAGGGGGGAAAGAAGGAAGGGGCCTCCTTAGCGCAGACACTACCCCAGTCACCGACGACCTGACGTACTTCGCAACGCGGACCTCCAGAGGGGATCTGTTGACCCCTATCACTGGCTTTGTGGGGTTTTCGAACGGAGAGAAAATTCGTGCCACCTCGGGCTATATAAGACAGGGGGGCGTCCATCCTCAAAATAGGGGTGCGTCCGACTTGGGGTGTATCCCCGAGTTCCCCTCGCTTCCTAAGCGGCTTGATACTTCGTGGAAAGTATGTGGTTGGGGGCGAGCCATCGTCTGCGGATCTTGACGGCATCGGGGACCAGTGAGGGGCACCAGGAACTAAAAGAAACCAAAGCATCCCGCCGTGACTTGACGGGCCAACTCTCCACCACCACTACCATAGGAAGGACGAGGGAGAAGAGAGGACGGGGAGGTCCTCCTAGTCCTCCTCCTCCTTCTCCTCCTCATCCTCGTCCTCCTGCTCCTCCCTTTCCTGCCTGTGGTAGCAGAGGTGGAGAATTTGCCCATCATGACTTCACGAAGAAAGATTGGCTATCATACCAGGACTCTGGTCTCCAGCGGCCCTTCGGGACGATCAGGGCACTCCCGGAACGGCCTCGGCAAGGCGCAGCTGCAGCTGCTAAAGCGCCTCCCGAAGCTGGCAAACCGAAGGGAACCCATAGAAATGTACGAAAATCTTGAACCTCAAACTCCCGTGATTCTCCACAGCGAGGATAGGAGGTGGGGGCACCTTGCCTTCGCGTCCTTGAGAAGGGGACGTTCAGGAGAGGGGTCCGCAAATCAGCCCGAGGAACGTGTGAGGCCCAAGGGAAACCAGGGGACGCATGAAGCGGGGCCAGAAAACCCGCGGGAGACATCATGGCCCTGGCCATGGTATCCACACCACGGTGGTCATCGCCCCTCTCTAGGCCGCCCCCCAACCGGCGGTCGACCGGCGAAGTTTAGGAGGCAACTCCTGGGAGGTCGTCGTTAGAACGATTAAAGGCGATTCAGCCAGATCAAGGGGCAACTTCACTGGAACAGGTCGGCTTCTGCCCTGGATTCAGCGGGATAAGGCTGGATAGAGTAGGACTACGCGGGATCAAGCCAGACTAAGCCGGATTCCCCCAGCTTAAACCCGTTATTTGACACCCAACAAACACCAGCGCCAATACAACATGCTACCTCCCACGAATTGCATATGAGCGGAGTTCGAGTAGGGGTTGACTACATAATCGAATTACCCCAGCATGGTTTTGTCCGCCAAATCCGACACATACATCGAATGCTCCATAGATCTCTGGAACCATCAACGCGAAGTTTCTCGGGGCGAATCATTTATGTAGTCGACCGGCTACTGGAATAGGCGATGGGATTGCTCTGGGGATAGGGGGTTATCAGTGGACGCCAGAGGAGTTATACCTGGAGTGGCTTAAGCGGGTCAGGCAATCCGCTAAGTGGGGCAGAGGCGTGTGGGCCTCGGTCATGCGGCACTCGCACTCCGCGCGGAACTCCGCCAGCTGCTTCGCCATCTGCGCCCGCTCCTGCCAATGACGGGCCAACGGAAGCCCTCCCATCTCTGCGTCGTCCTCCACCTCCTCCTCGTCCTCGTGCTCCTCCTTCTCCTCCTCCTCCTCGTTCTCCTCGTCCTCCTCCTCCTCCTCATCTCCGCCTCCTCCCCCCCTCCTCGCCTCCTCCCTCCTCTCCTCCTGCCTCCCCGCATCCTCATCCGCATTTGGCCTGCTCCTCCCTCCTCCGTGCCTCCATCCTCCTCCGCCTCCTCCGTCCCGACCTCCCCAACTCTCACCATCCGCCCTCCTCCTCCTCCTCCCCTTCCCTCCTCCATCCTCCATCCTCCATCCTCCTCCTCCTCCTCCTCCTCCTCCTCCTCCTCCTCCTCCTCCTCCTCACCTTCCCCCTCCTTCACGTCCTCTCATCTCTATCTCCTCCTCCTCGTCCCTTCATCTCTATCTCCTCATCCGCGCCCTTTCCTTGCTCGTCCATCTCTTCCTCCTCCCCCTTGTCTTCCTCCTCATCCTCCTCTCGGTCGCACGCAAGAGTGATTCTGGATAAGAATGGCGTTTGGTGCGCGGATTTCTGAGGTTCGCGAGGGGGGGGGGCAAACATACGCGCGCAAAACGGCACTGTCGCACCGCGCTCAGCGGTCGGGGGCCCCAGTGGGCACGCACCAGACCACTTGCTTCCTTCTGCTTAGGCTCTTCCACCTGATCGTCGTCGTCGTTGACCTCCTCCTCCTCCTCCTCCTCCTCCTCCTCCTCCTCCTTCTCCTTCTCCTCCTCCTCCTCCTCCTCCTCGTCCTACTAACCCTGCATGGTGGTCTGCCACGAATGTGGCCACTGCGACTGAACATGTCCGCCACCAGGATTGGCCTCTCATGAAAAGGGTCCGAAAACATGTCCCCAATTCGTACGGGGCTTTACCCAAAGAGGGAGCCCCCCCCCCACACGGCAGTACGAGCAGCGATGCAAGCGCGTCTCAGTGTGGATCAGCCTCCAATTGGAGAGAGGACAGCGGCCAGCGCAGGAACAGCGGCCAGCGCTGAACACTTAACTATAAAAATGTCCACCGCGGCGTTTTGTCGTCACGGGTCTGGGCGCTGCCTGGGTCACGGCACCGCCCGATTATTGTCGGAGCACGTGATTCTCAGTGCTGTCGATGTTGGTGTCAACTCTCATCGACGATGTTGCGCCGCGTGGACGGCATCATATTGAAGCCTTCTACTTGAATCCTCCTCCTCACCCTACGTGCCCTGCTCTTCCTCTGTTTCCTACTCATCCTCATCAACCCCCTCCTCAGGAATCATCCGAAGAATTAAGCCGACTATATTAATCAGACATAACTACATGCTAACACTAGTCATAAGAAGTCATCATCATTACGTTCATAATCGTCGTCGTAATCGCAATGTCCTACTTCGACTCTTCGTCGTCGTCGGTCGACGTCGGTTACGAATTCACCGCCTCCACTACTTCCGCTTAGAAGAAGAAGACGAAGAATAAGAAGAATAAGAAGAAGAAGGGAATGATAAGAAAAGAAAAGGAATCAGCCACCAAAAAAGGAAGAAAAGAATAAAATAATCGGTATTCACTCTTTACTAATAAGAATAAGAAGCTCCGACGTACTAATATAATCATACTAACGAAGACAGAAGTAAGAAGTAAAACTGACTGAAAAGGGTGAATGATAACACTCATACCTAATCATCAACATGTCTAAGAATAAGGCGAATAATAATACCTCAGCGGGTAAAGCTAAGAATTAACTATAGAATACTCATAAGTACGACCTAATGGCAAATACTATTAATAAGAAATACGATAATATAGAATAATGAAACATCATCCTTCAACATATCTTATCTCCATCATACTCCTCATCCTCCTCCCCATCAGCATCCTCCTCATCACTCCCTAATCCTACTACTAGTCCTCATCCTACTATATCTCTCCATCATCCTAATCCTCCTCCCATACTCCTCGTAAGACCAGAGATCTCCTTTCGCATCCTACCCATCTCCTCATCCTGCTCCTACGCCTAACTCCTCACTCCTGATCCCGGGGGCCCCCCATTCACGTCATACTAATCATAACAATAATCTCCTCTTCCTCCTCCTCCTCCTCCTCCTCCTCGTCTTCCCCCTTCTCCACGTCCTCTCATCTCTATCTCCTCCTCCTCGTCCCCTCATCTCTATCTCCTCATCCGCGCCCTTCCCTTGCTCGTCCATCTCTTCCTCCTCCCCCTTTGCCATCCTCCTCATCCTCCTCCTCTCGGTCGCACGCAAGAGTGATTCTGGGTAAGAATGACCTTTGGTGCGCGGATTTCTGAGATTCGCGGGGGAGGGGCAAACATACGCGCGCAAGACGGCAAAATCGCACCGCGCTCAGCGGTCGGGGCCCCAGTGGGCACGCACCAGACCACTTGCTTCCTTCTGCTTAGGCTCTTCCACCTGATCGTCGTCGTCGCCGGCCTCCTCCTCTTCCTCCTCCTCCTCCTCCTCCTCCTCCTTCTCACCCTGCGTGGTGTTCTGCCACGAATGTGGCCACTGCGACTGGACATGTCCGCACCTGGATTGGCCTCTCATGAAAAGGGTCCGAAAACATTTCCCCAAGTCGTACGGGGCTTTACCCAAAGAGGGAGCCGCCCCCCCCCCCCCACGGCAGTACGAGCAGCGATGCAAGCGCGTCTCAGTGTGGATCAGCCTCCAACTCGAGGGAGGACAGCGGCCAGCGCAGGAACAGCTGCAAGCGCTGGACACTTAACGATACAAGTGTCCACCGCGGCGTTTTGTCGTCACGAGTCTGGGCGCTGCCTGGGTCACGACACCGCCCGATTATTGTCGGAGCACGTGATTCTCAGTGCTGTCGGTGTTGGTGTCAACTCTCATCGACGATGTTGGGGTCCTGTGATCTGCGCCACGTGGACGGCAACATTTTGAAACCTTCTACTTGAATTCTCCTCCTCACCCTACTTGCCCTGCTCTTCCTCTTCTTCCTACTCCTCCTCATCAACCCGCTCCTCCTCCTCCTCCTCCTCCTTCTCATCCTCCTCCTCCTCCTCCTCCTCCTCTTCCTCCTCCTCCTCCTCCTTCTCACCCTGCATGGTGTTCTGCCACGAATGTGGCCACTGCGACTGAACATGTCCGCCACCTGGATTGGCCTCTCATGAAAAGGGTCCGAAAACATTTCCCCAATTCGTACGGGGCTTTACCCAAAGAGGGAGCCCCCCCACACGGCAGTACGAGCAGCGATACAAGCGCGTCTCAGTGTGGATCAGCCTCCAACTGGAGAGAGGACAGCGGCCAGCGCAGGAACAGCGGCCAGCGCTGGACACTTAACGATACAAGTGTCCACCGCGGCGGTTTGTCGTCACGAGTCTGGGCGCTGCCTGGGTCACGGCACCGCCCGATTATTGTCGGAGCACGTGATTCTCAGTGCTGTCGATGTTGGTGTCAACTCTCATCGACGATGTTGGGGTCCTGTGATCTGCGCCGCGTGGACGGCAACAGATTGAAGTCTTCTACTTGAATCCTCCTCCTCACCCTACTTGCCCTGCTCTTCCTCGTCTTCCTACTCCTCCTCCTCCTCCTCTTCCTCCTCCTCTGCCTCCTCCTCCTTCTCCTCCTCCTCCTCATCATCATCACCCCCCTTCCTCCTCCTCTTCTTCCTCCTCCTCCTCCTCCTTCTTCTCCTCCTCCTCCCCCTCCTGTCCCTTCTCCTGCTCCCCCTCCTCCCTCCTCCTCCCTCTCCTCCTCCTCTCCTCTTCCTCCTCCTCCTCCCTCCTCTCCTCCTCCTCTCCTCGTCCGCCTCGTCCTCCTCCTCCCTCCTCTTCCTTCCTCCTCCTCCTCCTGCTCCTCCTCCTCCTCCTCCTCCTCCTCCTCCTCCTCCTCCTCCTCCTCCTCCTCCCCCTCCTCCCCAGTTACCTCCTCCTGCTGCTCCACAGCCCTGCTGCCTCTAGTCTCAGGGGCGCTCCGCGTCGGCGCGCCCCTCTGGGCTCCCAAGGCGCGTGGCCTGGCTGTGGCCTGCGCGGCGCGCAGGCTCTGGCAGCCTCCGCGAGCGACGATGGCACTTGGGGCCACAGTTTTCGCTCGTAGGTTCCCAGGGCCGCCACCTAGAGGGGGGTGGGTCGCCACGTTTCTTCTGGGACTGCCTGGAGTGTTTCTCCTGCCTCTGTCAGGGCGAAAACAAACGCTTTTTCGTCGTGGACGCCCTTTCTCCGAACCACGAAGCGGGCGCGCTAGTCCACGGTGCGACGGCCAGGTGGCGGCCAAATGTCAAACGTCACCTGGCCCATCTTCGCGCCCGTGTCCCTCTGCACTCGCTGCCGCACACCCGCCGCGGGCCGCTCTTCTCATCACGCTGATCCGTCCCTGGCTCTCGTCGTCTACGCTTCTCCATCGGGGATCGGAAGTGCGCGGTGGGATTATGCTGCCCAGGCATCGCCTAGCCGCTCTGATCAATTAGGGTTGATGGGCAGCCAGGTCGTTTCAGCCACACAACCATAGGGTGTTCTGGGTCTGTGGTTATCCCTCCGCTGTGATGGGGCATGGGGCCGCGGCGCCGCGCAGAGGCGGCTTCGCAAGAGGCTAGCGCTGGCAGCCAGACTAGGTGATGACGCCGTCGGGAGTGCATTTCCATCGCACTGATGCCCGCAGGCTTCTAACCCCCTCGCCTTCACGGGATCATGCTAGACCCCTCGTTTCATGCCTACTGCTGGCGCGGCTATTCCCACTGCCGCAAAACGGCGCCACCGCCGTCCATCATAGCACATGTCGTCGTCGTCACCGCTGTCATCGTTGCGCCACCGTCGTTGCCCCGTTTCCCTCCGAGAACATGCGCTCGCACTCCGCACGCGACTCGCTCATCTGCCTCTGCATGTCAGCCTGGCGGACGGCCGCTTCACATGGCAGCCGCGGGGCTGCATTCCATTCAGCGGCCAACCCCAGCAGTCACGAGGCCCTCCTGCACAGCCTTCTGGGAACCCTTCCATCTCCACAGCTCCTGTGGCTATGTAATGCTTGGCGGCGAGCCCGGGGGGGAAGTGAAAAGGGGCGGGCCTTCACAAAAGGATCGGAAGTCCCCCAGCCTTCTGAGAAGTTTCTAAGCCTTCCCCGACGGCAAGGCAACCTCATGAGAAGGCGCGCAGACTTCTGAGAAGTCCCGCCGCCTTCTGAGAAGGCCTTCTCCTGCTCACTTGCCCCCGTCGCTGGCCGCCGAAAGCCACTCCGAAGACTGGGCGGTGGCGCACGAAGACCCGGACACCACGGGAGAGCGCACGAGGAGAACGGGTGATCAAAACCTCCCTGAAGGGAAGCAGTGGACAAGCAATGCAACCACGACCTGCCACGCGGCCTGCCATCTTGGGGTGGCCCAGCTCCATCTCCACCCCACCCACCCCTCTCCCTCCCGATCCTCCCGCCCCTCCTGCCCTGCCTCTCCTCTCCCGCATCCCCCCCCTCCCCTCCCTCGCCGGCGAGCGCGGGGCCCTGGCGCAGCGTGCGCGGGCTCGCTCCCCCGCCCCCCTACTGCCCTCCCGCCTCCCTTTCCCCTCCTCCCCCTGACCCCTCTGCCTCCCCCAGCGTTCACCGTGCCACCGTCCACAGGGAACGATGCGTCAGGGACGAAGAGGCTCGCCCGGCCACGGCGAGCCTCGGCTACAATGGCACAGGCCCCCCGACTCTGATCTGGGGACTTGCCCGAAACCCAGGGCACCTCCGGAGCCCAAGGCGGTCCTTACCTCGGCGATATGACTGCACCCCTCCCCTCTGGAAGGCAACTCGAATCAGGTCGAGCATGTCCTCCTACAGGCGGATGTTGGAAGGAAATGCAAGAAAAAACCCAAACATACCCAGCAATGGTCAAACATATTCCTCTTCCTATATTTTTGTAAGGCTGGGCGGGGGGACCCCCCCCCCGAAATCGGACTCCCGGGATCTGGGGCTTTGGGACCCTGCGGACGGGCCTCGAAGCGGCCCCCCAGGCCTCGCAGGGCGTTTTGCCAAGCCTTCCAAGCACACCTAGGGCGATCAGGGGGGTCATCGGAGAAGTCCCAGAGACCCCCAAGACAGCACAAGAGCGCTCCAAGAGTAACCGACGTGACCTCAAGATGGCCCAAGAGGCCTCCAGGACGGCCCCAAAGGCCTCAAAAAGCCTCCAAGAGCACTACCAAGAAGGCCCCACAGGGCAACAATCATTGATTTTCTGTTGATTTGTCCTTTTTTCGGCTTCCCGACGCTCCAATACGGCAGCAATCTTCTGGGCGTCCGAATCCGCCATGGAGGCTCCCAAATCGCCCCACAACCATCCGAAAGGGCTTCCAGGCAGTCCAAGAGAGCCCCAAAACGACACAACAGGGGTCAAAGATGGCCCTAAGAGGGGCCCATGGCGGCCCAAGACGGCCCCAAGACACCCTCCGAAGCATTCCAAATCGTGACCCGGTCGTTCAGGGAGACATCGGTTGGAGGCAGGGTGGCCCGAGGAAGCCCCCAGAACCTCCAGAACACGCCCAGGAGGCCTCCAGAAGACTTTAAGAAAGCCTGAAACTGTTGTGAGGTCCCCAGAGGCTCTCAAGGAGGAGCCTCCGCAAAAAGAGCTGAGGAGGATGGGGAAAATGCGCAGGGTATGGCGAGAACGAGGAACAAAAACATGGAGGAAAGATAACGAATTCGCCGGCCCAACGGGCCAGAGGCGTGCTAAGACCTCCGCTAACTAGTTGACAATATTTCTAGTTCGCGCGCGCGGGGCGGCCCCTGGGGGTTCCCCGGCGAAAAGTACCCCGACCGCCGCCCGACCACACTCAGAGATGGTTTTCCTCCTGGGTGTGGCTTCTCAGGCCCACCAGAGCGCGCCAAGAGTGCCCCAAGCAAGAGGCCCCCAAGACTGCCCAAGAGGCACCCGAGACGCCCAAAGAGCGCTCCAAGACGCCCATGATGACCCCAAGACGGCCCAAGAGGCCTCCAGTGGCCTCCAAGAGGCCTCACAAGAGGGCCCCGAGAGGCCAAAATCATAAATTGTACGATGGTTTTGGACGGATTTTGGCCGTGTCGCCTTTTCGGCCATCCGATGCTCCAAGACGGCCCAAGAGGCCCCCAAGAGCGCCGCAAGACGGGCCAAGAGGCTTCCACGAGGGCCGCAAGATGGCCCAAGAGCCCCAGAGGCGCCCAAGACGGCCCAAGACGGCCCAAGGCGGCCCCAAGACGGCCCCAAGAGGGGGACCACGAACCGAAAACTCAAGCCTTCCGCACCAAGAGGGCCCCAGGAGGCCCCGAGAGGCCCACAAGAGGCTACAAGATGCCGCCAAGAGGCCGCCAAGAGGCCCCAGGAGGCCCCCAGGAGGCCCAAAAGAGGCCCCAGAAGGCTTCAAAAATGCCTCCCAGGCGCCCCCAAACGGCTTCTCAAAAGACCCCCAAAAAGCCTTACTGAATTAAATGCGGTAGGCGTCCGTTGGCCTTGCCGCATGCTCCCCGGGCTTTGCCCGGGGCACGCTGGGTTCAGAAGCCGCCGTGGCAGTGCAGCGCTGCCGGCTGGCGTCCTGCCTGAGCCTCAGCCCGAAGACCACCCACCCACCCTTGAGGAAGAGGGGGCGCCAACCAGGCCGCCGCCGCCGCCGCCCGAGCGGGGGGGAGGGAAGGGGAGGGAGGGGGCCACCCTCCGCCGATGCCACCACGTTGGCCGCGGACGCCGGCACCGCGCCGTCAGCCTGGGGGTCAACGACGCTCTATCTGGGTGGGGGGGCAGGGCCCCCCATGCACAAAAGACACCATCGGGACACCGTCGTGACGGGACACCAAATCGACGCCCCCAGGACTCCGCACCCCGCCGGCCAGGAGGCCACGAGGGGTGGGGGAGGAAGAAGACGCCACTTCCAAGAGGCCTCCCAAAGAAGCACCTCGACGACGACCCTGTTTGGCCCCAAGAGCAACACAAGATGCCAACGAGAGGCTTCCTCCTCCGCCCCTTCCTCTTCCTCCTGCTCCTCCTACTTATCTTCCTCCTCCTCCTCTCCTTCTCATCCTCTCCTCCTCCTCCCCTCCCCTTCCCCATCCTCATTTTCCTCCTCCTCGGCGGCGCCACAATGGCCCCGGGCCCACGGCGAAGCAGTAGCGATCATGCAACATGGGCCGACGGAGTGAGCGAAGCGATTGAATAACATCATTTTAGCGGCGATGCTGGACAAGACAACAAGGAGTTTTCGCTAAATTGTCGGCTTGACCTTCCTGCCATCCCGCCTGCAAACCAAACTTCAAGGACCAAGGTGCATGGCGCGAAGCGCCGCTGCAGTCTTGTATGCATACATATATATATATATATATACACACGTGTATATATATGTGTTTATATATATATATATACGAATGTACACATGTGAAAAATTCGTCCCGAAGCTAGTTTTTCACTATTTGTGAACATTCCTCCTGTAGAGGGAGGGACACGCACGAGTCCTAAAACTGGAAGGGGGGGGCAGGCTCCGAGGGTGGGGACATCTCGAGCTCGCCTCGGCAATACATCGCCGACGGACCTGCGCCAGGCCCCCGAGATGGCGGCTCCGCACATGCACGCTCCGAGTTTCTTACTGAGCGTCGGGGGGGGCGTCACCCCCGCCGACAGCCCCACATCGACCCCCGTCGCGGGCAGCCACCGCGCGCCGAGGGTGCTCCGACCCCTGTCGCGGCACGACGACGAGGCGAGGTTGACCCCCGTCGGGGGGGGTACCCCCCCACGCATATTCAGAAACCCAGAGTAGGCAGGGCGGGATTCTCGGACCCCTATCGGCGACGAGTGGGCGATTGGGGGTCGATGCGTCCCAACCTGCGTTCGGTGGCAATCGTGGGGGCCTTCCATACCACACTGTCGGCTCCTGGAGTCGACGCTTGCCGACGCTAGGTCGGCGCTAGTCGACGCAAAGTCGACGCCAATCGACGGGAGCCGACGCCACATCGGCGCCATCTCATCGACCCCAAGACGCTAATCGACGGTAGACGACGCTGAAGAAGGCATTGCGAGGTCGCGGCTCCCATGACTTGCTACCGAACCTGCATTCATTCCCTGGCTGCCTTCGAGCCATACTCGGGCCCCTCGCGGCCGTTCGGGACGATCCGGGCACCATCGGAACGCTCTCGGCACGGCGCAGCAGCTGGTAGGTACCCCGAGCAGCCGAGGACCAACGAAAACGTCCGAAATGTTCAAACCCAGACCCCTGGCGTCATTGCTTTGAACAGCGTCAGCCCTCAGAGGTCTCGACCCATGCCCCTGGATCAGCGTTTCACCCTGAGCCTTCTTTGGGACTGCCCCGACGACGGGTAGAAGGGCTCCTCCAGGGGCCGAACCTCGCAAAAGTCCGTCCGCCGTCCTGTTTTCATGACTCTCGATAGAGGAGGAGGAGGAGGAGGAGGAGGAGGAGGAGGAGGAGGGAGGAGGAGGAGGAGGAGGAGGAGGAGGAGGAGAGGAGGAGGAGGAGGAGGAGGAGGAGGAGGAGGAGGAGGAGGAGGAGGAGGAGGAGGAGGAGGAGGAGGAGGAGGAGGAGGAGGAGGGGGAGGCGGAGGCGGAGCGGAGGCGGAGGCGGAGGCGAGGCGGAGGCGGAGGATGGTGATGATGATGATGATGATGATGATGAGATGATGATGATGATGATGAGGAGGAGGAGGAGGAGGAGGAGGGAGGAGGAGAGGAGGAGGAGGAGGAGGAGGAGGAGGGGGCTGGGAGCGGAGGCGGAGGAGGTGGCGGAGGCGGAGGCGGAGGCGGAGGCGGAGGCGGAGGCGGAGGAGGAGGCGGAGGAGGAGGAGGCGGAGGAGGAGGAGGAGGAGGGGGTCTGGGAGCCTCGAGCTCCGGAACTTCACTCGCTGCACGGCGCGGGAGGCGCGGAGCGCGCGCGCAAGCGTCGATGATCCTCAGGACGCGTGTTAGCGCCAACGCGTGAGCTGCCCCTTGAAGCCCTTTCCATCGGTAGTGCAAAGAACCCCCTTTAGTAAAACATGGTTTGGTGAGGACGACCTCAGGCCCAAACCTGGCGGGCGCAAACCTGGAAAATGACGGCCGCGGCGCCCTCGCGAGAACCGAAAGCGGACAATTCGCTAATCGACGTGTCAGGGTGGGGGTCCCGTCCACCCCCGATTCGGTCCCCGATTCAATACGACGCAGGCGATGCAACGATCCACTGCTGGGGCTGAACAGGACAAACGCACATTGGGCTGACACACGTCCTGAGGGGATCCTCGAGAGCGGCGGCCTTCTCCTCTGCCATCAGCCGCTCGCACTCGGCCCGGAACTCCGCCATCTCGCGCTCCATCGCGGCGGTCTCCGCCTGCGCCGCCGCCCCAGCGCCACGGGTGGGATAGGAGGCTGGCGCCGTTCGAGGCCTCCTGGGCTGGATCCGAGAAATTAGATGGGGTCGGAGGGCCTCGCCGCATCGCCGACACATCATCGGTGATGCATCGGCGACGTCGGCGTGGAACGAATCGCAGAGGAGTCGGGCTCCACATCGATCCGCTTGCCCCGATGCCTCGGCGATGCGGTGAGACTCTCAGGGCCCTTGCTGGACCTCGGGACCGTCAACAAACGATTCGGGGTCCTAGACCCCCGACGTCGCGTTTTTTTCAAGACGTGGCCCCAGGAATCTGTTCCCCTTCCCAGGGGACCGGCTTTTCATCGTAAGTCGTTGTTTGACAGTCCCGAGGCCCGGCGAGGGCCCCTGGAAGCCGAAAGTAACGAAAACCTGCCGTCTTGTTTTTTTCCCAACCATCCTGTGGTGTTGGGTCCTCGTTTTGAAAAGACAGCGCCCCGCGTTCACTCCTTCCTTGCTTCCTTCCTCCCCCCTCCCTCCTCCCTCCTCCCACTATCACGGCGCACCCCATCACACGTTTCGTGGCCCCATAGGGAGCTCCACCGAGGGCCCCAGTGGCTGCGTTCGCATGGCGGCACCGCACCCATTTCGGCACACACCTCACACGCTTCGTGGCCCCATAGGGAGCTCCACCGAAGGCCCCACTGGCTGCGTTCGCATGGCGGCACCGCACCCATTTCGGTACACCCCTCACACGTTTCGTGGCCCCATAGGGAACTCAGCCGAAGGCCCCAATGGCTGCGTTCGCATGGCGGCACCACACCCATTTCGGCACCCCTCACACGCTTCGTGGCCCCATAGGGAGCTCCACCGAGGGCTCCAGTGGCTGCGTTCGCATGGCGGCATCGCGCCCAATTCGGTACACCCCTCACACGCTTCGTGGCCCCATAGGGAGCTCCACCGAGGGCCCCAGTGGCTGCGTTCGCAGGGCGGCACCGCACCCATTTCGGCACACCCCTCACACGCTTCGTGGCCCCATAGGGAGCTCCACCGAGGGCCCCCGTGGCTGCGTTCGCATGGCGGCACCGCACCCATTTCGGCACACCCCTCACACGTTTCGTGGCCCCATAAGGAGCTCCGCCGAAGGCTCCAGTGGCTGCGTTCGCATGGCGGCACCGCGCCCATGTCGGCACACCCCTCACACGCTTCGTGGCCCCATAGGGAGCTCCACCGAGGGCCCCAATGGCTGCGTTCGCATGGCGGCACCGCACCCATGTCGGCACACCCCTCACACGCTTCGTGGCCTCATAGGGAGCTCCACCGAAGGCCCCAGTGGCTGCGTTCGCATGGCGGCACCGCGCGCATGTCGGCACACCCCTCACACGTTTCGTGGCCCCATAGGGAGCTCCACCGAAGGCCGCAATGGCTGCGTTCGCACGGCGGCACCGCACCCTTTTCGGTACACCCTTCACACGCTTCGTGGCCCCATAAGGAGCTCCACCGGAGGCCCCACTGGCTGCGTTCGCATGGCGGCACCGCACCCATTTCGGCACACCACTCACACGCTTCGTGGCCCCATAGGGAGCTCCACCGAGGGCCCCACTGGCTGCGTTCGCATGGCGGCACCGCTCCCATTTCGGCACACCCCTCACACGTTTCGTGGCCCCATAGGGAGCTCCACCGAGGGCCCCAGTGGCTGCGTTCGCATGGCGGCACCGCGCGCATGTCGGTACACCCCTCACACGTTTCGTGGCCCCATAGGGAGCTCCACCGAAGGCCCAATGGCTGCGTTCGCAGGGCGGCACCGCACCCATTTCGGCACACCCCTCACACGTTTCGTGGCCCCATAGGGAGCTCCACCGAGGGCCCCGTGGCTGCGTTCGCATGGCGGCACCGCACCCATTCGGCACACCCCTCACACGTTCGTGGCCCCATAGGGAGCTCCACCGAAGGCCCCAGTGGCTGCGTTCGCATGGCGGCACCGCACCCATTTCGGCACACCCCTCACACGTTTCGTGTCCCCTGAGGGAGCTCCACCGAGGGCCCCCGTGGCTGCGTTCGCATGGCGGCACCACACCCATTTCGGCACATAGGGAGCTCCACCGAGGGCCCCAGTGGCTGCGTTCGCAGGGCGGCACCGCACCCATTCCGGGACACCCCTCACACGCTTCGTGGCCCCATAGGGACACCACCGAGGGCTCCAATGGCTGCGTTCGCATGGCGGCACCGCGCCCATTTCGGCACACCCCTCACACGTTTCGTGGCCCCATAGGGAGCTCCACCGAAGGCCCCCGTGGCTGCGTTCGCATGGCGGCACCGCACCCATGTCGGCACACCCCTCACACGGTTCGTGGCCCCATAGGAGCTCCACCGAGGGCCCCAGTGGCTGCGTTCGCATGGCGGCACCGCACCAATTTCGGCACACCCCTCACACGTTTCGTGGCCCCATAAGGAGCTCCACCGAGGGCCCCAGTGGCTGCGTTCGCATGGCGGCACCGCGCCCATTTCGGCACACCTCTCACACGTTTCGTGGCCCCTTAGGGAGTTCCCTCTCATTCGCTCAACCTGTTTTGCGGTACTCGTAACTGCATATGGTTGGGTCCATCGCCAGGATAATTGTTTCACAGCGCGAGGGGGTCTGGGAAGGCAAATGGTCGACAGGTCGGGGGCCTGGGTCTCGAACAATTTCCGAGACGCCCGAGGCCTGGGAGCGCCCCCGCAGGGGTTGGGAGGCCTCGAGCCGTGGGCAGCCCGGGGTTACCCCCAAACCGTGGGGAACACTGCAGCATCCGAGGGCGTGCCGTGGTTCTCGGCCTCCCCGGGGCCTGCGCTGGGTCCCGGGCTCGTCGCAGGAAGCGGCTCGGGATACAAACAAAAAACGCCCCAGGGGCAAGGGTGAAGTCGGGCATGTCCCTCTACAGTAGGAATAGAGAGGGAACTATTTTCCTGCATTTTCTAAATATGGTTGGCATGTTTTGATGTTTTGTCGGTCTTCTTCCAAACTCCGCCTGGAGGGGGACATGCTCGACCTAAGGCAAGGGTCGGGACTTCCGGGGACCACGCACTGAAGACGTCAATACAGCCGGCCCGCATCACAAGGATGCGCGATAAGGATGCGCAAGAGCCTTGGATGCCCATCTCGAAGCTTCTCGAGCGGGGCGCGGCAAACGAAAGTGGCCAAGGATAGACCGAGGAGGCAAGGATACAAGGGTAGCTTTGGGAAGATTGCCCATCCTTCCTATGCGGGTTGACTGTAGCTGCGGAGGGATCACGACAGCAATGCTTTTCTTAGTTTTCGGCTTTCGGGGGTACACACCGTTCCCCAAGATCATAGAAAATAGCTCGGGATGAAAAACCGGTCCGAGGGGGAGGGGACTGCACCCCTGAGGGTCCGGAAATTCGTGGGGGGCAAAGAGCCCCAGGGAAGGGGGCGAGATTCGGGGTCTGGGGGCCCGCGGATCCCCTGAGATCCGACGTTACCAGAAAATGCAACATCGCAACAATCACGACCAGAGACCCCCGACCACATCGTTCTGCGTCATGTTTCGAGCCTGATCGATCTGTGAGGGTCCTAAACTGGACGAACACGCTGGCTGTGAATCAATTGCAACGCCACGATCGCACGGTCGAGAAAGTCGGAGCGCCAGACGTCTGGGTCCGAGGATCGGGGGCTCGAGGTTGTCCTGCCTTCCTCGGCCCCGTCTGCGGCCACGCATGGGAGCCTCCCATACCACCTTGTTGGCTCTTGCGAATCGACGGTAGTCGACGCTAAGTCGGCGATATCTCATCGATTGCCATGTGCTAAACGACGCTAACGTACTCTGAAACTGATTTGCGAAAATACAAGAGGTTCCTATGAGAGTTGCTACCGTGGGCCCCCGTGTAGCCCACGGGGGATGGGCCTCTGGGGGGTGGGGGGCAGGCCAAGGCGCCCGCCCATGAGATTAAGAATCAAAGCTTCGGCTGGCCACTGCAGGGCTTGATTGGCAAAGCATTCAGAGTGGAGGAACAGTGGAAACGACAAGGAGGAGAATGAAGAGGAGGAGGAGTGAGGAACGAGAAGGAGGAGGAGAAGGAGGAGGAGGAGCAGGAGCTATAAGAGGGTCATTGGGAGGGCTGGCTATGGGTATGGGTGCGGGTTGTCGGACCCCAGGGGACGCTCCCGTTCGAGCGGGGGGCCCCATGCGACAACACGCACTCATAGCCCTCTCCAACCCCCCTATGGGTACGGTAGGATCGCGCGGCATCAACGCGCACAAAGGTTCGTGACTTGACACCGTGTCGATCGTTCAATCCGATAGCGACCACGATCGTCCAAAATTGAATTTCGCCGGGTCCCGTGGCGTTACCGTGTTCCCTCGGTGCTTCCGCGTCGTTCTCTCGTGCGGTGTTCTCTCGCACACCTGGTGCCGCAAGTGCGCAGAATTCAACCTTGAACACCTTCGCCGGCGTCGCTGGCGCGCCAGCGCAGCATGAACCTACCGTATGGGTGTGTGTGTGTGTGTGCGCGCTGCCGCTAGCCGCGCGCGCGCTCTCGTCTCCGACTTGGGACACCCTGTTGCTGCGCGCAGGGCCGCGGCGCCAAAAAGTGTGTCTGTGTGTTGTTCGCTCGTCACGTATATCCATAATCCACCACCTCCCGCGGTGCAGGCAGACCGGCTTCCCAGGCGGTGGGCATGGATTACGTCGCAGCCTCGGCGCGACGGTGCGCTGCAGAGGCTGCCACTGGAGCGCCCGGCTCGGAGGCGGCAGCACCCAGACTCCGGCCATGGGCGCATGGGGTCCGCCTTTGGGCTCTGTCGCCGTCCTAAGCACGGGCCACCTCCAGCACACACCAGCGCAGAGCGCAGACGGGGCCCCATGGCACGACACGACACACGAGCGACGGGCGTCAGACCAACGCAAGGAGGCGGAGCGGGGGCGTGCGAGGGCCCGCTGGGCAGGGCCCATGCCGGCGCGGC